TATATATACAAACATCTTTATATTCAATTGCGCAATTGTCCCAAATTGTTTGCTTTAAATATTCCTTATTGCTATTGCAATATTTATAAAATAAAATACCGCCGACTGAATATTTATGCATAACAAGCATGCATGCAAATACTTTATAGTATTTAATTAAATAATATTGAAGTATTAAGACAGTTCATCAATGGCCATATTATAACGAATTAAGTGTGGTAAAATATAAACCAGATATATGTATGATTGTTAAATTAAGGTAATTAAGATGTAATAATTTCTTAATTTATTGAGAAAATAGTTTAATTAGTAAAAAAAAATGCGCTAAGCCATATGGCAAAAACAATTACGAAGCAAACAAATAAACAATTGTTTCAGAAATAAAAAAGTGTCAAATTCTCTCAAACGTTTATGTAAATAATTTGCGATTAATCTTTTAATTAAGTACTTTTGAATTCAACTCAATTTACTCATAAATTGAGCAATTAAATCGAAAACAATTAGATTAGCAATTATTTCAAACTTTTTTTTCTGCTCTGTTAATGATTGTAAATTTGAAGAGGAATTTCTGAAATTATCAAAAATTTCAATCACATTTATTACGGTTGAATTCTAACATTACAATATGATTTTGAAATAGTCATGTAACGGTCCGTTCATTCACTTTCTGACCTTAAAACAAATATACGAAATATCATTGATAAAACTGATTACCATTTCATTGACTTTGATTTGTCCGATATTGCGAATTTTATCGTAAGTCGCTGAGATATTACGAATGACTACACTCACTTATCATCTCTCGAATGATTATGGGCGAATGATTATCGCTACCATACGAAGTAGTTATCTGTTCTCATGATTGTATTATATTGGACTGAATGATTTTGGGGTGACAACGATTTATTTAGGATAATGAACTGTTATTCAACGTTCCGTTTTTCAAACATCTATGATTAACCATTGCAACGATTCAGCAAATTCAACATGCTATCATCTTATCATATCTGAAGGAAGAAGAAACAATTGTTTAGGATAAATTATGAAATAATTTAGTGTGAGAAGAATTGTTATGATAATTTCCCATTATCAATGCAGTAAGAAGAAAGAAATCATCGTGATCGTTTTCCATTATCAAAAGCGTATTCTTTCCTTCATAAATTCCATATTTTCACATTTCATACTTTGAAAAGATTTGTGAATGAAGAAAAAAATCATAAAATCGAAAGAAGATAATTCATTCTGTTTGTTTATAATTTATTCAGTATAAATGATAATTTTTTAATTTAGGAAAAATAGATCAATCAATACATGAATGCATTCAATTGATAATGATTAATATCACATCTTAAAAAAAGAATGACAATTATGAATTTGTTGTGAGGAGAAAATACTTCTATTACTGATTAGTAGCATTGAACGATTATTTTAGCTTACAGATATTTTAGGTTTTTATTAGTACCAATTTTAGCATAAATAATTCTATTTGCTATTTTGTGCTTAAATTTGCGTTTGCGCAACAACAAATGGCAAATTATACTTATCCCATCGGGTTTCAAAGTTCACATATCAAAATTAAATAAAATTTACGCAATCCTTGTTTAATTAAAAAATATTCAATTAGTTAAAAAATTTGATGTTTGTATAGTAATAGAATATTAATGATTGTGAATAAATTTTTTAATACAGTTCTCTTAAATTGTAAAAATCTTAACTTCTGAAAAAATAACACTCAACTAATTGGATTTTGGATGAGAGGAAAGAATTATTTATCCATTTAAGAGAATTTAATTGCTGTAAATAACCTTTATAGTTCTAGTTATATATATATTTCTTTAGTTAATATGATATATATATATTAACTAAAGAAAGTTTGAAGAAAAAACAGTGATTGAAATTAAACAACAGCAATATTATATAGTTTGTAAATTGATCTATTCATTTCTTATTTGGCAAACATTCTTGTTTGATATTATCAGGTAAAAAGATACAGGAAAATATCCAATGGAGAGAAAATACTATTCAGTGAAGATCCTTTCCTAAAACGTGTTATCATCGTATCACTGATTTTAGTATTTTTTTGCTTTTCAATGGTTTTATTTTGCTTTCAGTAGATATATTTCCGGAATTTGTTCAAAGTCAGTTTATTTTTTAGAAAGCTAAAGAAAAAAAATTTTGGATAATTATATGTAATAAATTACCGTATTTTCATTAGCCATTTTTTTTCAACGATAAATAAAGGCTGTTAATTGATCGGCACGAGCAAAAAACGTTTCCTACCTTAAATTACCCAAAGTGAATTTTTGAAAATTATATAAATTTCAGGGGATTATTTATTTATTTTTAATAGAAATTATGCTTATAAATTTTGTGTGTAATTTTGAAACTAAAAACTGAATTATTTCGAAAAAAAGCGAAAATAATTTTCTTCTTTCTGAGAGGCACCGTTGTAATAAACTGTAAAACTATGTCAATGTCACATATTTTTCATACATTCAAATAGAAAAGTCAAATTATTTCGACTTTTTTTCTGACATAAAAAGAAAATTACAAAAATATAAATTAAAAATTAAATAATTTTAAATGTTAGAATTGCAAAATTTTTCTCATTCTTGACAGCATGAATAGGAATGGATGTCCAATGGAATGACCACTGCTTTCTCTCCGAATAATCCTTTCGTGGTATACTCGTAGTATACATACCAGCCAAATTAACCATTGCATTCGCTTTACATCAGTACTTCTAATATACAACTATAAAGATTTCAAAGTTTTCGCTAGCGTTAATTTCTAAACCCATTGCTTAAGTCGTATATGAAACGCAGACATTGATCAAATATGTATAAAAAATAGTCCACTAAAATTAAAATTTAAAAATATCCATTACATTTTACTTTCAATTGCATAATTAAATACAATTAACATTTCAGGTTTAAGAACAATAATAGTCCACTTTTTAATCTATTTGCTTTATGAATCTCTGCTTTTTGTTGTCAACACTTTGCAGATTATTTTAATCTAATCAATTTACCAAGTGAATTCTTCATATTCATATTGCTTCAAATTTCCTATCACATAATTATAAACCCAAACTTTGTTGGGTTTATAATTATATGATAGAAAATTACAATTTTCTTCAATATATCGCTAAGAGCGAATGTTGCCTCATCCCGAGCTAAATTACGCTTAGTAATCCCCACGTGTTTTAAACTGAACTTAAACTTGATAAAAAAGATTCACGAGAACTAATTTGATATATTTCTTAATCTTTATAAATTCATCTTAACCATATGGTCATGCTTTCTCCTGATGGTTGGATGTGCGAATATCGCAGCATGGTCACTATGCCGACAAATATGATAATTTCAATGGGAAACAATGAGAAACAGCAAGCAGTTAATTATAAATACTAATTTAACAGAGAAAGTTTTGGTTAAAACTAATACGCAGGATAAACTGAGCTGGTAATTTATCACAGCTACATAATAATCAATTATGAAAGTTTCAGGAGTTGGTGTTACACAGAATGATAGCTTAATTTCATAGCCGTTTATGTTATCTTCTTGAGGGATGAAGCAAGTTTAGAATGAATCTCGAAAGAAGTGTAACATTTTCAAAATTGCAAAATATTTTAATTGCTAATTATAATTAATTAAATGAACAGCAGCACTAATATTCATTTTCCAATTAATGCAAAATTTTGTCTGGTTAAAAATTGGCGAAGAATTAATTACGAATTTTGATTTAATTAAAGTAAAATTCAATTTATATCAAAATGAAAATATCACGTGTATACCATCTGATCTTATGTCTTAACTTAACACTCAAAACTGATAATAAAAAAAGAGAAAGTGTCGAAAATGAACAGAACAGTTTAATTGTTATTTTTTTTATTTAACATTATATTGAATCCTGTAGTTAATAAAAATGAGAAATCACGAATTTACCGAAATACGATCAAGAATGTATCGATTTAAATCTGTGACTTTTATTTTATCAATGCGGACTATCAGATCTCAATCAATGAATGTAACATAACAAAATCTTCTTCGATTTAATGGGAAGTCTAGTCGTACGGGGACCGTTATAACAGTCATATCAACAATGCTTTTGAGATGAACGTTTTCATCGCGATGTATAGCAACGGTAGCGCTGCTGTTACAATTTCCTGGCTTTTTTCCAAAATTACGTCATATTTTTTAATTTCAGTGAAGTGTTGGATGGGATTTGTATGATTACTTCAGTTTTATACGTAAATTTACTCTTCGTTATTAATTTTTGTGAACATCTTCCTCTTAAATGTTGAAATTCTCTCATAATGTATGTGAAAATTTTCATGTAGTCTGTGTTGAAAGAAGACATGATTTTCACGAATTTCCACGAACTTAAATCAGCTTAGAAATATGATTTTCTCCTAAAGCTGAAATAATATAAATTTTTGTTGTGATAATAAATGAAGAGCGTTTGTAAACTACAGAATTTTGACATTTAAAAAAAAGATATTTACAAAAATTAATGGCAAAGAGTAAATTTGCGTATAAAACCGAAGTAATCACACAATTATCATCCAGCAAGTAATCGAAATGAAAAAATACGATGTAATTTTGGAAAAAAGCCAGGAACTTGTAGCAATAACGTACTATTGCTATCACCTAAACGTTGCGGAATATCTTCTTTAGTTTCACCTAAACATAACAGAATTTACCATATCTATATCCTAAATATGATGGAATTTATCTAGTTTAGTTTTACCTAAACACGTTGGAAATGTTCTTTAATATTGATCCAGTAAAGATTGTTTACTATTCACTAAATTTTTAAGTGTAAAGCTGTTAAAATCGCTTGCAGGAATATCAGTCCAAACGGTTTCCACCGATGCTTATTTTAATGGGGGATAGCGTTCAGTAACTGGGATATTCTTTTCGTTATATCAGAGAAATATGTTTTTGCCGGTAATTATTACGGTCTAATTTTTTTTAATAAATAAGTAATATAATTGCTACAATTTCTTCTTTGCCGCAAGCTATTTATCTCCATCTCCCAGATGTTTTAGATCATATTTCGATATCCGTTTAATCACTTCCTCTATTTGATTTACGAAAGATTCATCGCTCGTTCTTGTGCGTGGGAGTTTTATTTCTCACGCGCATATAAATTTTGTTTTTCATAAATACGTAAATTTTCTTGATCACCATATTACTTAGATCCTTTTGTTGGATTGAAAGTTAGATGACACACATTCATCTGTTAAGGAGTTAAAGAGTAAAAACGGTGGATCCACCATTATTAGTTTATACCTCTTGCATAATCATTAAGTGGTTGTCAGATCGAAGTTTTCAACCTCGATACTCGTTGGCTGTTCCTCAAATAGATCATGTGAGTGAGCGAGGTGATTTTTTCATGCTCTCTTCCAAATATTGTCATCAGTTTTATTGTCTTTCTGTTTTCCATAGTATTGTCATCTTCGATAGAAATTCTCAACATGTATACTGGGAATATGTACTAGAAATCAAAATTTTAACGACACTACTCTTAGAGCTTGCGTAGTATTTATCATCATTAGAATATTTGTCACTTTCTTTTTGATTCAGTCGTGGATATTCTGTTATATTTCAGTGGTCTGTTTGATTATCTTCTGATTTTTACAATGTAATATATATTATGGTGGTCTTCTGCTGTCGTCTTTCTATCATAATTATCTCCCAATATCGAAACTGCTAAGAAGCAGTTTTAAATGTTAACTTTCTTTTATTTAGGAAAATAATTTTTGACAATTTTATCAGATAAGTTGTAGAATTTTCTTCTCGTCATAATATTGCAAATGTGATACTTCTTCGGCTTTTTCAGGATGGTAGCGAATATAACCTACGACTGCCAGGATGTAGCAGAAGTGATAAAAATCAGGAACCTCATGTATTTTGCGTCGTTGGAAATCGTGATAAAACGCTCTTTGTCGCCGTTACTTCATCTATTTTTTATGTATATTTAGCTCACGTCAGTATTGCGCTTCTTAGTTTTTAATTTGTAGTTTTTTCACACTTAGATTCGTGGCATCAAAATTGGTAATGACAGAAGGAAAATGCTTATCGGAAAATAATTCGTTATTAGTTCATGTGTTTTTATTAGGGAGATAATAAAGCCCAACATAAGATTAGGTAACTATTGTGCTCTATTTAGAGAATAGTGTACAATAATTATCTAATCTTATGTTTTCAAGGACGTTGGTCATATTTTTCGAGTTCTTTTGTTCTCACGATTTCGTAACATTTTCAAGATAGCAAAATTTGTTAAAAAGACTTTATGACCCAAACATTTTTAAGTGTTCTTGCTTTAGTGTTCTTTAAGTGTTCTTGCTTAATAAAAAATATTTTTTATATTTTTGAAAAAATCTTTTTTCTATTTTAGCCTCAGCTGTTGCTCTGTTCATTCAGACGATCCGAAGAGGATGTGAGAAAAAAGGGTGAATATCGGAAAGTTTATTGGCGACATGACTCCTCCGCAATTTGCTTCACGGTTTGTTTCTATTCTTTTTTCAAATTTAAAAGAGTATAGATTACAAATAGCATAAGCAATAAGTGTATTGAGTTAAATGACTGAACAATTAACAGTATAGTACTTTTTTAGAGGGCTAGTGTTTGTCTATATTCGTTAAGGTGTTGCAATACGTAATATGTTGAATACGAAAACTGCAGTAGTTATGAGAGACCGTCATCCGCCATAACATAGCAGTCGTTTTCTCCTAATGATTACGACCGATTGATCTGAAGTTCTTTGAACTATATATTATTATCTGATTTTTTGGTTATTACCAAAACTAAAATAGTGAATAGAAAATAGTTCTTTAATTTTATTTTTTAGACTTCGAAAAACTGCTTATTGCTATATCGACTTGATATATCGTCCGACAAACAGTCTTTCAATTTTACTGAACCACGTGAGGAGCACTTAAGGCGTACCTCGCAAGAGTTATTTATTCATGAAAAAAGACCAAAAACTGCAGCATATTTGTCGGTTGTTGCACGACTTGACAGTCCAGCAACATGGTTAGTATTTCTAAAGTGCTAATTCGATAAATTAGAATTTTTTCTACATTAAAATATAAAAGTAAATATATGTCGGTACGAAATCACACATATAAATTTGTGCAGTTACTTCCGTATTAGTTTAGTGTAGTCAGATCTGTTTGCAATTTGTACATTTTGAGCTTTGTCGAAAATTGTTCTTAGATCAAAATGATTTATGCTTACTTTATTGTTTTGTAGCATTGTGCCTTTCCGAGATGACTTATTTGTTTGTTTGCAAGACGGCTGGTTGCATCGCATATCATGGGGAGGTGTTGTTGATAAAAATTTTTCATTCCATTTATTCGATGTTCCATTTGCTGTCGATCAGCTGCAGTCTAAAAGTAAGCTAATACATAAAAGTGAAGTCACGAATTTAGTATGTTATCATGTTTTTCTTTGAATCAGTTTCTAAAAGTGATCAAATCAATTTGTGTTATTATTTCTGTTCCACCGGTATCTTTTCATGTTTTACATTTTATTTTGTACAGCTGAATATGTGCAAGAGTCAGGCACACATGTTGTTGATATGGCATATGCTCCTCTTATCGGTGGATTTTGCATAGTGCTTTCTAATGGTACTGCTGCTTTACTTACATCGCATTCTTCCAGGTTTCTTCCAAAGGTAAAACCTATAGTCTTGGGCATTTAATAAATCTTTGTCACTTTATCACTTTTTTAAATTTTTCAATCACTGATAGTTTAATCAACAAGGGACTATTAATATAAAATGACGGAACAGCGTGGACGTTTTTCCTAACACAAAATAAGGCCAATATTGTTTGCAACCGTAACTAGAAAAAGCGACATCGAATGATTGATTTCGTTTTTCTGACTGTTATATATATGAAGAATATAAAAAATTCACAAATTTAGCTTCTCTATTACTGCTTTAAAGCGTGCTCAATTTGTTTCATTAAATAAATCATTTTCAGGAACTGTTAGGAATATGGGCAGCACAGTTGACTGATGCTGTTTGCACCGCAGCAAATCACAAATATCGATTAGTTGTTTGTGGTTGTAGAAAGTATGGTTCTTAGAAAATTGTAAACTAATTAGCATTTGATGTTTTGAAAATTTAAACATATGCCTTGATTTTTTTCAAATAATTTTTGCTGCCTTCAGTGGTGATATTGCTGCTTTCCACTTGGACGATATTAATGGTTCATTAGCACACACGTTTCGTGTATCTCTTCAAGTCAAAAATGGACCAGGTCTAGTATAATTATCACCAAATATGATAGTTTTTGAAATCATAACATTTCCAGAGAAGTCTAACTTCTAAATTCAAAAGCAGTCTTTATGATTGATTATAATTATATGCACGAATTTGAGTCGCATTTGAAAATATGGCACAGATCATTGTTATTCAAAGCCACTTTGACTTTTATTTTCTTCATTTATCAAAATTACTGGAATTCAGAGTTATTGAATCGAATGGGTCAAGTGCAACATGTGGAATGTTATGCACAAGGAACAGCACTAGCAGCCGTCTGGTCACCTTTATTATACGATAGTGGATATGCAAGTAATTCGAATACAGTGCCTATTGTGGCTATATTTAGCTCCTTCGGTGCTCAATTATGGTGCTCTCTAGAATCTCCAAGTGACAGGTTTCTCTTTCTTTTATGAAACATTTCTAATTTGTTAAGATGTGTTAATAGCCTAATGGACAAAGCAGAATTAGTGAACGACCAACAATACGGTCTGTTTTTTGAAGTTATATGAATGTACTTGGCATGTGATGCCTTCTCCTCTCATTGGTAGTATCTTGATATGATGTAGAATTTTTCTAAATACTGAGTTTAATTCTGATTTTTTTAAGACATTTAATCAATTTAGGAATATCTATGTTGCCAGTTCGTGTCATTGGATTGATTGGGGTCCAGAGGGATTTAGTTTATGGTTAGCCACCGATACAGGATTGTGCGTACTGCCTATTGCCCATTCTGTGAATTCAAGTGGCGTCGTAAGTTTTTGTTTTTCAAATTTTTTGGAAAGTATGTATTATTATAGAGTGGTTCAAATCTCAGTTATTGACGAGATATGTGTCAAGAATGCTTATCTAGTTACTAGGTTAATTCTTTAGTTTAAGTTGTTAGCAGTGTTTGCTATGCTGTTTATTAATTCAAGCTATTTGTGATAAAGTTTTCATATTTGAAAAATGGAATTTTATGTTTAATTACAGGAAAGTACGGACAGGATTATATTTCTTTCAAGCAATCATATCTATCTGAGTGCTGCAAAAGAGCGAGAGCAAAATGTTAATGCTCCCCACAGCATTTGGCATGTACTTTCGCCACCGAATAACTATTTATCATTCAACTGGCCCATTAGAGTATGTAATTATATGCCACAAATCATATTGCCGTAATTGAGAAATTCGGCTCATAGTAGATGGCTTTTTCCATTAATGATTAACAGTTAACCAAAGCATGACACGGATTCAAGCTATAAGTAGAGGTTCCTTTCCATGATCCTTAGTTTGAATGGGGTGCTCTTTTCACACATTGAAGTCGGAAAATCGTAATTATTATGCTATAATCATTTAGTTAGTTGAAATGGATGATCATGGACAGTGGCTTGTCGTTGCAGGTGCTCGAGGTTTCATCCATTATAATTTAATGGCACGTAAATGGCGCATGTTTGGTAATGAATCACAGGTAGAATTCTAACTAAAATTTTATTTGTTTCGTACAATTTTTGTGTAAGTGTTCATTGTCGCTTAATGAAATTAATTTTATGTGTTATCTATGCTGAATGTGGGTACCCACAGATTAGAAAAAGAGATAATGTACCGAAAAAAATTGGTAGTTTGTTAAATTAGTTGATTTAAATCATTGTGCTTCTTTATTACTTTTTTTACATCGTGTAAGTAATTTAGATTTCAGAAGAATTGAATATGCTTAATGCTGTCATAAATTTAGGAAAGAGATATGTTGGTCACCGGTGGGATGACTATTTGGGGAGGATATGTGGTGATTGCCTGTTACGACATTGATCGTTCCAAGGAGGAATTACGGTTTTACCCACTGGAAAATCAGTTAAACAATCAATTTTGCATGAGGCATTCGATTAATTCAAGAATTCTTCTTTTAAGCCGTCGGTAGGTAATTATTCGAACATTTTCTTTTCATATTTGTTTGGTCAAAAAAAATTTGAGAGTTAAATAAGGAATCAGGAAACATTCACCAATTAAAAGTAGTGTTTATATAAGCTGTTATTGCGTGAATGTAGAACCTTTTTCCATATGTAATATTTAATCGATTAAAGATATTTTTTGTATTTGCAGACAAAACAAACTGATAACTTTTGATGTGGACTCATGCATATTTATTTTCACTCTTTTTCTGGAAAAGAATTCCAAGAATGAGCAGCCGGTGATCCGAATAGACAGGTATTTATTGGGAGAGAAGTAATAATGGAACGTTTATCATTTTTTCTTTTACTGACATTCAGGTTACTACATGATAATATGTTGTAAGGGTGGTTCTGGTTATTTTTTGTAAGTAAAATCCTACTTTCACTTTAGTGATGGTTTGGGTAGTAAGTAGTGCCTTTTAAAAAGTTAATGATTAACATAAAAAGATAAGTTTTTAATGGAAATGAATTCTAGGTGTGCAGAAATACGTGTTCAAGATATAGTGCCGCATGCAGCTTGTGTTCTCTCTGTTGAACCAGCATCTTTAAATCATGATTCTCGTTAGTTTTTTCTTCAAGTTATTGCTTCGAACGTTACTTTGTGTGTAACTGTTTTTGGTAAAAGTTTCTACTGTTTTTATTCCAATCATTCAGAGTGGAAATTTCCATGAAATGATTTTTAAAATAGCTGGAGTTTTCTTGTTCAAATACGAAGAGTCAATTCATTACAGAAATAAAATTTTGTGATGGCGTAGACACAGTTTTCATAAATGTTTGTGGAAGATTGATAATGTTGAATCCTGTGAAACATGATAACATTGGGAGTGATTCATCAGATGATGACGGAGCCTCTTTCCAGGTCCTTAATTTTGTTTTAAAATGATAAAGCTTAAGAAAGAAGAGTTATATCTTTGAGTTTTCAAAGCTTATACTTCTGATCTTTTCTTTGCTAAATAGAAAATTCTTCAATTTTCAAAAAAATCAAAATTTTCAAGTTTATTATCTAGTCTCTAGCCCTTTATTGCTGGTATCTGAGGTCCTACTTCAGATGTGAAAATTTGGTACTGACTAAGCATTTTTTAATAATTTTCAATCGTTTTTTGTGGGTGGAAATAAGTGACTGGATACCGTTTATTCTAAATTAGTTTGAAGATTATCTTTCGTATCATGGTCACTAGCCTCGGCTTGATCCGCATCGGAATTACTTTCTATGTATTCAGTTAAGTCGGCCTATGCTAATCGCATCATATGTCGAGAAAATTTGGCATGACGCTGCTGATGAAGTTGACAATATGTTTTATCACAAGCCACATCTAACACATGCATTATGGCTGAATTGCGGAGCTAAAGGAATGAAAGTTTGTTTTACGTTCCAATATTTTGTCTAAATTTACGATTTTTATTGTCATTAATAAAATTAGGCCATATCACTTTGAATTGTTCTACTTAAGGTTTGGATGCCATTATTTACTGCCAGACAGACCAGTGATACCAACTACAATTCATGCCATTCATTCATCAGTAAACGTATTATGTTACCTTTTGAATTGGGCATCGCTCCACTTGGTTTGTCATTTCAGCTTTTTTCTAAGAAAAATTTTGTGATATTTCACTTCTATCGACCTTTTTTCAACATAGCTTTGAAAATCCTTCTCAAATTTAGATTTATTGAGACGATAACTAAATAAATTTCAACCTACTTTAGTGTTGAAGAAAATCCTGTTTTCAGTTATATGCAGTCGAGATTGCTTAGCGGTTGGTGTGGAAAGTTGTCCAACATATTCAGACGAAAAAGAATCGATGAGGCATTTGCCAATATATAATTTGCATCGTAAAAGTGAGGCAAGTTTATCACGTGAAATTGATATAATGATATATTTAGATTAAAACTCTCGTATTGGTTGTTCAAAAGATCCTATGAGAGTGCGAACAAAGTTTCTAGAATGCTTTTAAATTTATTCAGCATCACTGACTGTTTGTCAGAAACATATGTTTCACTAAAGATCATTAGCATGATTGTTTGACTTAAAGTTATGCGGAACGTTGTGTTAGAAATTTCTAGTAATCTTTGAAATGCAGTTTTCCAGGTTTTCCTGCATCATCTATTACGTCAACTTTTGAAACGAAATCTTGGTGTATATGCATTGGAAATTGCTGCTACTTGTAATCAGTTACCATATTTCGGCCATGTGTTAGAGCTGTTACTGCATAATGTGCTAGAGGAAGAAGCAACTTCTTCAGAACCAATACCAGGTTATTATTTTTTGCAAATTAAAATTGTTTCAAAATTCAAGCGGAATTCAGATTTTCATATAAAAGTTGGTTCATGATTTATGTTTTCAAGTAAACAATATCATATTATAGAGTAAATATTATTGTATTAAGAAGTGGTACTCTTCCTTTTTTTTACCAACCTATTTTGATCATATTTGATTGTTTTTTTAATGGATAGTGTATATCGCTTGGCAAATGAATCCTTGCTGAACAAAACACTTCTATAATTGTATAATAATAATGAATAGAGTAAGTGGATATATTTTTTGCAGATCCACTGTTACCTCGTGTGGTAGCTTTTATCCAAGAATTTCCAAATTATCTGCAAACAATTGCTCATTGTGCCCGGAAAACTGAACTGGCTCTTTGGCCCGCTTTATTTTCTGTAACGGGTCATCCACGTGAGCTTTTCGAGAAATGCATCAGTGATGGGCAACTTGAAACTGCCGTCAGCTTTCTCATCATTCTGCAAAATACGGAAAACAGCTCAGCCAGTCAAGAGGTTTGTTATTGAGTTAAATCTTGAGATTTAGTTCCCATGTATCTTCAATTTATTTTTAATTTATAGGCCTTATAGTCTACGAATTACGGTGCGAGAGGAAGTCCACTATAAATGCGAATTATTAATGAAATAAATTTATATTCTATTTTTTCCCAAATTCAAGTAAGAGAAGTCAGCAGTGTGATGTCTTTGCGGTCATTCGGATAAAATGGAAGGTACTTTGTTCGTTGACGGCTTCAAAATTTTGCAACTTCTTTTAAAGCATGCAACAGTATTGCTGGAAGAAGCTCTTTCGAAACGGCAATGGTTGACAGCACGCGATATTGTTCGCTTTCTTCGTGCTATCGATCCATCTGATATTGATGATCCGTCACGAACTCCACCATGTCAAAAACCACATCGCAACGTAGTCAGTGTAGTGTCACGGATTCCGACGCGCGTGTCTACAAATGGCAGTGAAGAGGCAGATTCATTTGTTTTTGGAAGCTACAACGCTCCAGGTGAGGTCTTGCGGTATAAATGTTATTGAAGTTATTGATATGGAGATTTTTCAAAGCTTTCAATTGCATTTAAAACACTTAAAAGCAACCTTTACAATTAATTATGTAACCGTAAAATTGTTTTTAGTGAATTTTTAAAAATTATTGTTCAAATGATTGGTGAAATGTTTATGTACGTAAATCAAATTTTTTCACGAAAGATGAACAAAAAATAATCATTTTACAGGCATGATAAAAAAACCGAGGTCGTCACAACAGGATAGTGGCTGTACGTCCGGGCGAAAAAATTCAGCTGGAAAGAAAGTTTTGAAAATAGGTTCTTTCGATGCACCCTTAAGTCCTGGAAGTGTCAGCGGCTCAACGTCGACATACCTTGATGATGTATTGGACCAACATGCTGTTCATTTACTGGAAGATTGTAGTATTCAGGATTTAGGTCAGTATTTTTTACAAGGGAATAAAAAAACAGTTGTGTAGGCTACCGCATAATAATACGGAATTGCTTCTTCTAATTTCATCGTTATCCAAGACTCCAAGAAATATTCTTTTGGTATCTGTGTCGGTTTTAAATTATGTTAAGTGGCAACTTTGTTTGAAAACAAGCAGCATGCATTTGTAATTAATTTTTTCATTTTAGGTGCATTCGCTGCCTATATGGATTTCAATTTAATAAGCTGGCTTCGAATACAACGGCACAGTATAGCACGGATTAGTGATTTTCCATTAGCTTTGATGCGACTGCATGCACAGTTCAAATGGCCATACCCATTGGTTAGTCAAAGTATTGTAGAACAATTAACGAAGCGAATTGAAGGCATTAAAATTTCGCCATCACTGGATAGCTTACAGTGTAAGTTATTAAGGGATTTTGACAAATCATATTGTTCTGAAATGAGAAGCATAAAACTGCGTTGTAAGTATTACTGACATTTGGACCAGCGGGTAGGATAAAGGGAATGATTGAACAATTTTTTTTGATCTGCATGTTTCGTTAAGTGCCAAGTGTCAAAGACTGTTCACATAATGAACGAACAATCAAAATTATATTTTATATAATTTTGCTTTTTTAGCGCTATCGACAACCAATAGCAATGCTTCTTCAAGTATCGAGGAACATCAACAGATCACATCGGTTGCTTCTGCGGTTTCAAATTCTATATTTATCAACGACAAGCAAGGTATTATTATGTCAACAGATATGACGCGGTTTTCCTGATTCATGACTTAATATATTGGATAAATTGATATAAATAGCAACATCAAAAAATTTTTTAGGAGTTATTAATTCCAGCATTTGTTGCAGATAGAAAAGAGCTATCACCAGTATGTAGGCAATCCGCGTTAAGTGTGGTTTCTCTAGAAAGTCGTTCAAATTCGTGCAGTGATTGGGAAGGTTAATTTGGTTTTCTTGAAGCTTTAAAAAGAAAAGAAATGCGGACAGGACGAAAATAAAGTTTGATTTATATATAAACAAGCGTCTGCATGCAGGACAAATATCAAATATATTGTGTAATTACTGCAGTTTCAGCAATTTAAAACAATATTATTATCCAGATTTATTTAAATATCTGGTTGCAGGTTTTGAAAAAATATGTGGTGAAGTTGCTGCACGCGGATCACAAGAAAGTGAATTAGAGTTGAAATACATGTTGGATGTTATGTACGAAGCTGGCTGTGCCAGCTGGACATTGTTGGTATGGAATTTTCAGTCATTACTTATTTTTCCAACATATTTATGAACCTTCTCCATGTAGTTGTTGGAATTAAACGGTATTTGTTTAGTTTTCCGTCATTAAAATAGCATTGTCGTGAATACTTGGGCAGTTCTGATGATATTTTTAATAGAGGACATGTAAAGAGTAATTATGGCAGGGGCTTTTTAAAGCAACCAATTTCATTTTTGTTTTCTACCAAATCTTGAGTAAGCGTTTCATCATAGTGAATGAATAACAGCAATTTGACATTGTTAACTAGGAAATCCCATTTTCAAAAGCATTGAGTAAAACTGGAGCTATTACTATTGTTCTGCTGTTAATTAATGAACTCGGTGATTTCTTTGTTTGATGACACAGGCATAACAAATGAGATCAAAGCAGCGGTTCTGGACATACAAGTATATTTAAATAATCTGGATGATGTGAGGAACATGCTAATTTGCTTTTTTCAGCTATGTTTATTACGACGTGATGTATCATTCCTTAGTAAGCATTTCTCACAAAAATTTTTACAAAGCTGTGGCCCAGATACCGTGGACGAATTACATAAAGGATTGGAGCAACTGCAGAATTGGGCCTCAATTAGTTGGTAGGCCATTTGAATTTCATCCGAGGAATGAGTTACAGTTAGTAAACATTTTCTGGTTATTAATCAAATATGTTTGAACGGTACTGTATTTTATTAACCAAGAATTTAACGAATTAGATGGACTAGGGTAGAAGAATAAAATGATGATAAAAATGTTTTCAGTTTCGGATACCGAGCTTTAATCGATGCATACACGAGGCATTTGTTGGTAATTGGAAGTAAAAGTGGAGAGCATGCGGTTACTGAAGCATCATCAGTGGCACCAGGTTATTGTAGCAGCAGTTTGTTATCAACCAGTAGTTCACATGCGGAAATGAATGGAATTTCCGAATTAGGAGGAGAAGTACTGCCAGTCATTGAGCGAAAAATATCGCCAGCAGTAGGTGAGTTTTTTTCAGCTTTAGAAAAAGCTGTAGAAAGTAGTGATTATTTATTGAAAGCCTTCAATGATACGAGATCAAAAGTTCTGTATCATGAGCCACTGTAAATTTCTGAATTAATTAAAATCTTAAATTTCTGAATTACTAAGTTGTCAAAAATCCCTGATGTCATGATTTTTTATCTGTACTGTTTTAGCCAACTACAGCAAAATTGCGAAATTCTTGTTGAACTTCATGAATATCATCTGTCCATAAGATGGAATTAAACTACATCTTATGTTTTAGTATAGTACATTTATTATTTTCCCAAAGTGCTGAGTTAAGGTGAGAACCTGAGAGAAATCCAGTCACACTCAGGACGCTCTTCTATATCGGGCAGCCACAAAGAACGAAATGGTATTATACGAAAAATTAATTCTGTGCCATCTAATCAACTATCAACAGCAGCAGCGAGGAATTTAATAAAGACGACGTTTACTCCACCACGAGAAAACGGCGAAATTGGTGATGGTTATGTTGACATGGATAGCTGTACTGTGGTAAGTGATGCGGCCGTTGTTGGACGTGAACAATGTAATTTGATGTAATTATAGATATTCATTTCCTTTATATTTGTACCAAAAAGTGTTGCATCTTCATAAGTTGCCCTGTTCAGCTTATAGCACTTTAAATTGTGTTTCGGTCACTGCCAATTCCTTCTTTTTAAAGTTGTTTCTTTTGGAAAGATTTACTAGGAAAATTATATAGATAGGTACTAAAGTTGATGTGCTTCAGTTTGTCTCTACTTAAAATAGCTCCCTCAAGATTTTTGAAGATTCTGCACTTTTTGGAAAATTGAATTTTTTTTATCATCAGTTTTGAGTTGAATGTTTACCAAGCCACTATAGTCGATATGAAACCAGAGAGGGTCTTTGTTGTTTCGCGTTCTTGGTGTCTATTGAGTTGGCACAATTTCTAACATAAAAAATATGCAGAACAGCAGCTGCATTGGAAATTATTTATTCTAGATATGCGAATTGTCAGCCTGTATTACTTGTTGTTGAGAATTTTTTGCATTTTTCATTTTTACGTTATGTTTTTTATGTTTTTATCTTCCTATGTCAGTTGGTTTTTTAAGTTCGATTGTGCTGAACTCTTTTTATTTTTAATTGTTGTGATGAACGTACAGGTACTCTTGCGCCTTAATTATTCACGCATCATTCATCTTTTATCCTTTTCGACTTTTAACGCTACCAAACAATCGGCCTCAGCGAATAACCTGAGATATATAAATATTATATATTGTACATGTTGTTTGAAGCAGGATGCTAACTTACTAATCTTTTACAATTCTGAATGCACTTAGTTATAGAGAGGAAATGCACTCTTATCTTTCAATTCAGGGGCTTTCTGTGTTTATTGCTCCTAGTAACAATAATGTGCATCTCATATTTTTTGCTTATGATATTAATATCAAATCCTGAAAAAGTTTATTAGACACATAAATCCGAAAATAGTTTTACAATGCTTTCATTTTATCACGCACAATATTGAACTTATTGCATTTATGAGTTGAAATCCATTAATCAGCGTGTTTTAAATTAATTCTTTTGGAACTTTGGTTTTATTTTTAGTCTTTTTTGTTTCTTTAGAATTTTCAAATGAATCGGTTTTTAATTCATTCGGTTGAACCTGGAGGTCAACAAATTTCTCTTTCAAGAGCAGTATCCTTATTATATTATGTCTTTGTTTTTTTGTTTTACTTGTATGGTCAATATCCTTCTTTATCTGCGATGAAGCTTGTTCCAAATATGGTCCAAAGCATTTATGTTAATATTTCTTTTAAGGATTTCAAACTCTTTAATTCCATAAAACTTGGTTTATTTCGAGTCGCTTATAAATCTAATCCTAGATAATTCACTGACTGTAATTTTTGACTTTTCCGCAACATCTCATCCTAAATTTCTTTCATTTCTTGAAATTTAAACAGGCAAAAGAAAAGAAATTGGTTCATTTTCTTGTGAAAAAAATACTTGAATTCTTTTAGTGCTTATTTTTTGATGAAGGTTTTTAAAATAGTAGTTTGAATTCTTTTTCTGGAATTTGGGATTGGTTAACTTTTCATTAAAAATACTTCAGCTCTTTCAATGCTTATTTTTCGATGAAGATTTACTATGGAATATGTGTCAAAAAAAAACACTAACAGCTTTTTTGATTTATTAACAGAACGGTGCAAATCTCTATAAAGGATCTTTTCGTTTTTCAATAATAAAAATTTCTTAGAGGATGAAGCATACAGTAGCGGGGCTGGTAGTTAGCATAATTAAATGAAAGAGTTGGACGCATAATTATACTCTCGTCATAACGATATCGTTTGATAAAAGATTAAAATATTCAAAATCATGCTAAATATTCAAAATTTTTGTCAGCGAATTTAATGAATTTGACGAATTAGTTAAAAAATGAGACAGTATTGTACGAATGTATAACTCAACCATCCGGTAGCAATTCGTAATAGTTATGGAGTTTCGCCAGGATAGATTACTAGTATTTGTTCAAACATTTGCTGATAGCTTAACGAAAACTATTTTTAAGTGTTGGAATTGAATTTTGTTAAACGGGTCGCAAACTGCGGAATATTTATTTTATATGAATCAAATTTCTAACAAAACTACGTCACTGATCCTGTTGTCGATTTGTATGTTGCATGGTACATGAAGATTTTCGACAATTTTACTTAAGTAGTTGACTTTATATATATGAGAACTGATGTCATTTCAAGAAATAGTAGCACAATCATAACTGACAAAAAGTCTGCCATATTCACATAAAAAGTAAGAACAACTATAATTTTATATGATAAAACTCTATGGTTTAGTTAGGCCTTAAAAGGAGGAGGTAAAGACGGAGAAGAGAGGAGGTGGAATAAAAGTGTATGCGTAACTGTCAGTTATGACGGAGCAATGCTCTCAAAATTTTTACATATATCACCACAATTGATTTGATAAAATGAACGGAGAGAAATTCTGCATAGAGGTTAAGAGATCGAAATATTTAAGTTGATAGTACTCCAAAAATGAAAACTAATTGATAATAAATCAAGACATCAGTGGACACATCTTAAAATAACAAGATAATGACTGAAGTGACAGGTATACTATATTGCATATGTGCTGTCTTTATAGATTTCTTCGGTGTAAAAAATGAAACTTATTGAAATAATTTGTCTCTCAGTTCTGAATTTTAATCAAGGTAAATTAATCTTTTCATGTTATCAATACTTCATTGAAAAAAATATATAATGAATTGACTAACTTAATGATTTCTAAAAGAGCAAAAACAGCAAAATGGAATTTTAGATATTTAAACATTCTTTTTCATTCAATAAGCTACCTTAATTAGCTTCACAACAAATTTTTGAATTGTATAAAAATAGCTTGACTTAAATTTCAGTTGATTCTACTAACATATCACAAGTAGAATTATTAGCGAGATGTCCGAGGTATGAAATTAGTCTTACAAAGGTGGATTATTCATTCGGTCTCATAGATCCATTCTATAGTTTTGTTCAAAATATATACCACAATGTACAGTTAAATATGAACGATTGTTATCGAAAGGTATTCCGAAGAATTGTTTGTCAATGAATCATTCATCTCATAGTATAGTGGAATATTAGGAAGTTAAGTTTGAACGGAAATTATCATTGGAATGATAAGTTAGCATTATCGATTGACAAATGGAATAACGCGATGTTCACCGAGTTGAGAAATTTTGAAGTAAGATGAGAGATATGCAAAGATTTCTATTTTGCAGAAATTAGTAAACATAATATTATCATCGAATAATCATTTCCTGACTGATTATATCCATCATCTTCTGCTGAAACAAGTTTGTAGTTTTATATTTTATTTTATTAAAAATTTTCTGAAACATGAAAAACGAAATCACAAATTGCTGGATAATATATAGATTTTAAATATTAGACTGTTTAACTGATTATAATCTTATTAATAATTTTTTCGTCCTAATTATGTTTAAAGTATTTGCAGCCATGGATAATAACACTGTTAATATTAAGCGTACTATATATTATAATAGTACCGATTTGTGGTATTTTATTTTTTTGTGATTTATGCACTTGTGCAACTGCTAGTTCCATCTCTTCTTCGAAAATTTTAACAATTACCGGAGAGGTTCGTTTTAATAAATGGCAAGGAAAGATGTTTATATAATAGTCTTAAGTTTGTGTCGAAAATTGGTAAAATAAAAAATTGAGATTGATGCAGAAATTTCATCAACTCAACGCATAGTAAAACGAATCATTTAATTCAAACATTAATTGTAACATTGTGTTGTATTAAAAATATATGAAAGGATAATTTTAAAAATTCATATCTTTTCAGAATTATATTATTCATTGATAGAAAAAAACAAATTAAAAATTTTCAACTTTTAATCTCAAATGAAAACAAATAAAATGATATTGCTTCTAATCAGGAAAAAATAACATACAAATGAAATGGCCTATTTCTTTAAGAGCAAATCATCAAAATATCTATTCGCTTTGAATCTAACAATGATGACGATAGTGTTGATGGTAATTTTGATACTAACGGTTGTTTATATCAAGAGTGTTAGTTATGCTGTTATCGGAACAGATAGAATTCATCAATCAATGGATGGTATTTATACAGGTCGTTGATGAAATTAATGTTTTGATAGGTTGAAAATCAATCAATGAATTCTATATTTCCCAAATTATATTTTTCGTTTGCAACGGAATCTCTGATGTTTCTCATAGAACTTATGATATTTCAAATTGGAAACCAAAATTCAAATTTAACTATTTCAATAAATATTACTACAGACATCAATTTTCTCATCATTTCTACATCCAATGATTTAACCTGTAAGCTAAACAAAACGCTAAGAAAATTATCTGCTGGAATCAATGATACCATTCAACAATTCCCTAATAGAACAATTAAAGCACTTCAACAAGATTGTCCGATTGCAACACTACCAATGGTACCATTTTGATTTTCAGATTTTGATATTCTGAACATGGATCCTCAAAACGATCTATCATCATATTCTAATTTTTGTATCTTTCCTAATTTATTAAAAAGAGAATTTAATATTCATTTAAAAAATTCAGTGAAAAGAGAATTTATGAATAAAAGAAAAAAATTTATTATAAAGAGAATTTATTAATAAAAATTAACAGTTTGATGATTTGCAAGATTACTTGATTTATGAATTAGAATCAATGCTGCTTTCCTGTATGCTAATCCTGACGATCCTTACGAAATTATTAGCCACATATTCATTGAACCAAATACATCTGATAATTCAAGAGTTATTGTAATAGGAAATTTTCAATTTAACGTAGAATATCATGGCAAATTTCATCAAAATTCATTTAAGTTTCAAATCTTATCCAAAAATACATTTCTTTTTTTCCTTCTTCAATATATTTATATATAAAATTTAATGATGATACAATAATCCTATCTAAAGAATATTTTATCTTACTCATTTAGTTTCGTCAATTCGAAGATAGAAGAGAATGAAATACTTCTGTATTAGACGAAATTCTCCAATTATATCAGCTGGCAAAAATCGAAATTCTCTCGACAACATCGAATTTTTGAAAAAGTGAATTTTTTAGGTGATTGAAAGATTTGAAATCAAAAATGTTACTCATTTCATTAATGATGTAATATTGTCGATTAAATCAACGAAATTATTGGCAAGTAAATTACCAAATTCTATATACCGGCAATCATCTATGCAAAATATGAATAGTACATTGGAAAGGATTGAAAATCGTTTGGCAACTTTATTGCAGGTTTATTCACTGCAGTTTCATTCATTCCTTAAACAGCTTTGAAATTCGAAATTTTAATTTCAAGAGATTAGAAATTTTTGATCCCTTCAAGATTTAAAGTAATGATAATAAAGCTAATAAAGGCGTCACTTCAACGTCTTTCTTGCTGTAACGATTATCATCAAATCCTTCATCATTATCATAAACCTAATATTGTATCAAAATGGCAATTATTAAACAATAACTTTCACTCGAATTACTGATAACTGACCGGTGATTTGAAATACTGATAACATAATATGTGTGATATTATGCTACCTCATCACGCAATTCATTCTCAAATGGAATAATGCTTTCAATACAGCTTTTATCAGTCAATTACGTCTTTTATCAGCCACTTTGATCAACTTACATAGACAGTATTTTCTTGGCTGTTATTCGTCAACTGTCAAACATAAGAAAAAAAATTATTTTATCCTTATTCGATTCTACGAATAAAATTTCATTTTTAATTTGGAAGAAAAATACGTGAACTTTGATATTTATTGAAAAAAATTTAAGCAATACAACGATATATTTAAAATAGCAAATAATACACGAAACAATGTTGAATTTTTGTTGGACAATATCACCGGAAAGGTTATTTATTTTTATTCAAATTTTGAAATTGCATTTAAATTTAAAAACGAATGGTAACTACAGTTACTCAAGTTTTTTAACAGTTCTATTTCAAAAATTATAGCCACAGTTCTTCTTTTTTTAACTTTTTCTTTATCTTTTGAACAATTCAAAAACTTTTTTTTTGCATTTTGTTGAATTTGTTGCAGGAATTAATACAGTAGAATCCCTTCTTATCTTTCATCAAATTTTAGGTTAACCTAACATTGAAACAAACAAACAATTTTATTAGTGAAATATTAGAAAAAACCAATTTGATTATTGTGAGAATAAATCGAATAATTTCTAATTTACATTTGATCGTTCAAGAAGGATATCAAAAAATTGATTATTTCATAAAAGCAATTCTGGGGGTATTTTATTTTTTTCTTCATTCATTATTATATGATATGATGGAAAAATTGATACTTATGCAATTAAAAGAAATTAATTGCAATATCATTATTATTATTATTATTATGCACACATATAAAAGATTTTTTCAGCATTTGAATTAAATTAATTACAATCACAATGCATATTTAATTACAATATTATATAGTGATGATATACCTTAAGAAATATTTTAATTATTGCTATTATGATTTTCAAGAATATTGTAAATTTCAATCAATACCTTATATCTGATAGTTGTGCATACATTAAATTACTATTGAATAATCGATTTTCAGAATTCAGGATTTCAAGCAGTAGCTATTTCAATCTATCTTTTTGGAATTGTTCCAGTTATCCTCATTACTATACCATCTGCTATTGTAATAACTTGCAGTATATGTCTTTTAGCAAGAAAGTATGTTGACACAATTTGTACTAATTAGCTAATTATCAGTTCAATTACACTGACTTGATCAATAATTAATAAAGCATATTTTAAAATTCTCGATCTCTCTTTTTAAGTTCATTATGCCCTTACTTTTCCAAAAAAAATGAATAGAACAGCTGATCAAATAATAAACTGAATTCAAATTAGATATTTAAACAAATAAATCAATCAAAAAAATTGAAAGAAAAATCTCTTCACAATTATTTATTTATTTATCTTCAGTTGATTTTTTATCAAATAACAAATTTCAGTGATCGAAATCGTTCAAAGCAACAAGGATACTGGAGATGTGCCGGTGTATGGTCTTTACATGCCGCTGGAGCAGCATTTTTCACCGGCTGGATCATGATGTTAATTGCAAGGTTTTCATAATCCCAATTTCTTAATTCTCAAGTTTTACAAACCTTTGTAGAAATATTAAAATTGTGAATTTAGGAAATTTATATGAATCAGACGTTTCCAAAACACATAAAAATTCCGAAAATAAATAATTTTGAATTCGTAGTAATTTCGTCATGAGATTTTAACTTAAAAGTGCTAAATGTTTTGGCTTAAATCAAGTAATTAGCAATCCTAATTTTATCAGATAAATTATATAGTTTTTTTAACAAATAAAAAAGGATAATGGATGAAAAAATTTTTCAAAATTTAATGACATTTCATTAGCATAACATTCTTGGGTGCCTTTGGTGTGGAAACTATTTGTCAACCATTTTTTCGAGATGAACAAATGCATTTGTATCGTTCACCATATTTCAACAGTGCTATTGCACATCTTATCAATTTCTCTGAATCATCCGTTGGTATCGGGTGATTTATTTTATTCATCAATTACTTCCTTACTGAAAAAAGAAAGCTGAAATTCTTTAATGGAACGAAAAAAGAAAACTTACTTTTTCTAAAAGAATTTTTTCATTTAATTAATTTAATGTTAACAATTCATTGATTCTTTCATTGGCTTATTTTTATAATAACTTTATCAAATTTTTCTTTCCTGAAAATAAACTAATTTATAATTTATAAGTTAGTTTATTTTAAAACTTAAGAGAAAGTTTACAACAAATTTCATTGTTTCAAAATCCATCTATTTGTGGGAATCATATCAACGATTTGTTTTAATTAAATTAGTGCAATGATTTTGTGGAGGATAGTATTTGAATTTCTTTCCATAAATATATTATCACTGATTTATTAGCAGTTTATAGTGAATTTTTTTACCAATGCAAAAATCACAAATCGATACTAGTAGCATTAGAAATGGAATCTTTCTTAAAATCTTATGAACAAATATATGCAAAATATTTACCAAATGCTGCAAAACAAGCTAAACGATTACTTGAAGAACAATACTTTAATTTAACTTTATCTGGGATTGAAATACGCCAATTTAATGTTAGCAATTTTTGCAAATTTAGAAATTATTTGAATGAATTATTTTTTAATGAATTGATTATTATATGTGAAGCATTCTCTCACTCAACAATAATTTCCATAAATTAGCTAAACGAAAATATTAATTTGCTTAAGAATACAATAGTGTTGAAAAGAATAATGTTAAATGAAAGTTGGATTTTTTGTTAGAATGTTATCAAAGAATTAGCTATATTGAAAGAGAATTTATACAACTTTGTCGTTCCCTCAAGCGTCAATGAACGTGAACCGACGTTAAATGACTTATTTACGAATATTAAACGTCAAATGTCTAAAATGATTGAAATCACAGCGTCAGTTTATTATATTTAAAAAAGAAATACATAAATTTTAAAGTTATCAATATCACAATTATCAATAACAGATGGAAAATTGATTTGTACTTATAAAATGAACTGATAACCAATAATAATTAACGAAAAGATGTAGAAAATTTGCAGAAATAAATTCGTTAAATGTATTAAATTTATAGAGAAATGAACAAAAATATAATTGAAATTATGAAGCGTTCATCGAATTCGCAAAATTTTACACTCATTGCGCGAGAAATTATTTGGTACGAATATAATTTGACAATTAGCAAAATTTATCGCCGCATAATCCATGCAAAGGTACAATTGCAGAATATTTATTTTTCATTTTTGAAATATTTTAGAAATTAGCAAAGTATCTCTAATGATATCATTCATTAATTCCCCTATGTTATTTAAAATATTGCGAGTTTTTCAAAACTTTAAACTATAACTGAATAAAGGAAAAAAATATATGTATATATATACATATATATATATATATATGCATATAATTTATTGGTTTTCTTAGCATTTTTAAATTATTTAAATATTTTTTCTAATTGTTGCAGTTTTATTTGCTGAATCGTTCATTTGTATGCCGACCATTTTATGATACCTTAGTTAATGTTGGCAAGGTATTTTGTGAACAATTTAGCCGACCAATCCATGGAATTTGGTCATCTGCTAGTTTTATTGCAATATCTTTCATAGCAATGATTATAATTGTCCTATTCATATCAACATTCTTTTTTTCCTTAAATAATAATTTCGAACAAAGATTACGAGAAGTAATAATTTTATATATGTTATTTTAATAATTAAAAAGAATAGAAAGAATAATTAAGTATCTAATTTCTTGTACAAATTTGATTATTAGCTTAAGTATTTCCTTTTTTGTTGTTATTGTTCAGTTAATTTATGCCAATAATATAATTTTATATTGACAAATTATGCTGTTCATCAACGATTTGACTTCAGAGACATGATGCAAATGAATTAAAAGATAATAAAATAAACTTTCACGATCGTCGAAAACGGTAAGTTTAATCGATTCAGTTCTGTTCATATAAATCTAAGTTAAGCGATAAAATTATGCAATTAGTCATAAAAATGATTGTTAAATTTCAGGGAAAACTTGCAGCCTAGTGAAACAAGCGAAAAGTCAACATATTCAGAAAGTTAATCCTGAAAAAGTTTTGAAAATCAATGAATTTGCGATAAGAAAATATAACTTTTTCAGCACTGATTACAGTCAACTTTGACCTTCGAATTTTCCAAAAATCTCAGTTATTTTCTCAATACCATACGTGCGTAAATGTTTTTATTAAAATTTTTTTTTAATCAATCAAATTTTAATGTATTTAATGTTATGTATATCGCAACTGTAATGTACTAAAAAGAGAGGAAACGATAGAATGCTACAAAAATACAAAAATTATTCAAAACTGAATTGATTCATTCATTAGTAACACTATCTATAATATAATCACCGAATCTATAGGCCAAATCGCTTCATTTAAATATTCATTTTCTATTTTACGGAAGAGGCTTTTTAAATCTCTATCAAAATATGCAAATGAGATTTAACAAGCATCAACCCTTATGACAAAATAGCAATAATGGTCCCAGTTGTAGAAAATGGCGATCGCAATATATCTTTTTATTCTATCATTCTTCCTCTTACGTAATCTCCAGATTTTCACGTCTCTCTCTCTCTATTATTGTGGGCTTAAAGGCGAAAAGAAACGATGTATGCAAATTTATCGCACGATCATAGCATGGATAGATCCTTCTTTTATCCTACTGTAACGATCCATTCCCACCACATCAAACTCTCAAACAGCCCGCATTCTCCCACGATTGAATGGTACAGATCAAATTAAGCAAAGTATTTTACATTTTGCAAGTTATCAAACAAGAGCTATTGTAAAAAAAAGAATGTCACAATAAATAACGTATAAACTTTGACCCCATCCAAACTAACACCAAATTAAAAATTGATCCATCCAAATTAATACTGCTTAAAAATAACAAAATGTTAAAATAGTAACAATTCAAAAAATTTCGCAACAGTTTAATTTGAAATAAATCAATGAAAAAATAGAATGCATAAAACGGATATATGAAATTTACATTTGTATTTATTATTAAATATAGTTAATTAATTTTGAGACAGCTAACAATACGAATCAAAAGAAATCAAAAGAGTGAACAAATAATTTCTATAAAATTTTTGCGAACCTCAAACGAATAATTAACAGGGCTTTAAAAATATATCCAAACATTTCCCGGAAGTCACAATTTCTAACATAAGTAGTGAGAAAACAGGAAAAGTTGAAAATTTCGCCTTCCTCCTTTAAAGAAAAATGAAAAGATAAATGCATAACACTCAAATGAAATTAATTACTATTTGTGAAATTTATTTTTTGTTTTGGAAGAGCTTCGTATGATACTGTCTAATAGTTTGGTAAAGAACATTAAGAGATAATTATCAGGAATTAGTTAATAGTAAAGCCAATCAGTTGGTTTTTCTTCTTTACTTGTTGAATATAATTTGGAGAATATAATTAAATTGAAACTGGTTAATGAGGCAATTGCTCACAAAAAATTGTATTAGATGTAGATAGATGGTAGTACTGTAACACCGAAATGCCTAATCATATTTTGAACCTAAAAACAATAAGAATGATGCGTATATTTCCTAAGAAGTGAGAAATGAAGGAGAATAAACATTCAATTGACAATGTTCGAGATGAACTATTTTTATAGATTTCTGCAATACAAAATCATCTTTATCGGTTTTCCGACAATTATCCACTTATTTAAAAATATATGTGGTAGATTTAATTTCTCTAAAGTCACTTCATGTTCAAATATTAATCAAATTTTAACCACAAATTTAAAAAAATTTAGGTACCGAATTTGCATGTAAGGCAAAGTGTGACTTAACGGACTTGAATCAGTCATTTATACCAATTCCGCTTTTATGCTTATTTCATATAAATGAAACAAAGATAATATAAATTATTCTAATTCAGGTAATTTTGTAATGAATAAGTGATATATTTTATATCAAATGCATAATGTGATGACAGCAATAAAATCCTACCAAAAAGTAAAATTTTTTTTTAAATTAACAAATTTTAATTTGGTAAAATCCGCTCAACATGGTTGTAAACATTAGCTTGTAAACAGAACGTATCAAGTTTGATTCCTCCATTCGGCATAAGTATACCGTTTTGGGTGATTCGTCATCATCATCAGCATCATGACACGTTTATCAGTGAGCCCGACCATTTTATTCATGTTTTCATGGGAATGAATGGATTGAGATAATTATAGGTTAAAAATTTCGAAGTCAGATCACTAGCACCTTACGTTATATATAGTTGTATACCATCGGAACCCGTTTTGCGTGTACCATCGGAAACCGTTTTCAGCCTACCGCTGTTTTTAATAGAGAAATGTAGAGCTACATGGTGGACGTGATATTTCAGTGTCTAACGAAGTGTTACGATTTAATTTCTTCCTTTGAAAGCTATATTACTGCTGTCGTATGTGTTTCTGAATCCTATCAATTAATTCTAGAAGAATAATTTGATAATCCTTGTCCAAATTCCTCACACTTGCTAATTTGATAATTACGAGCACAAAGGTATAACTGTTGTGATGAAATGTATAACTGATAAATCTTCTAATTAACGAACCATATTTGAAGCAATTCAACTTCGAATTATATGAAATTAAAATTTGGAATATGTATTCTTACAACCCTTCCAGTTTCGATAGATTATTATCGATTAGAAGAATGTTGGTGGAATACTGAACGTGTGGTACTTTCCCTAAATGAATTCACCTGAATGATTATCATTCTAATGCAGCACTTTTCCTGAATATGTTTGATAATCATATATGGAAAATGTGACACTGTAAAGAACAGAATCAGATAACTGATATGCGCCTATCTACAAGAATATACCATAGCATTTCATGCAAGGAAATCCGAAAAGCGGAAATTGTGAATCGTTGGAATTTATGTGAATTTCAATGGAATCGATATCTTTTCACTAAAGTTATATTATTTTTTTCAAAACACTTTCGTGAAATTCTGAGTTTTTGTCGATGTACAACTGTATTGTATTAAACACACATCAGCATACAGAAATCCTAAAATGGATTTGCTTAGTCAAGGCTGCTATTTCAGTTTAATTCATTCGCCTAATTGATAGCTTAAATCATATGGCTAAATCATTAATTGTATGCGATCAACTTTTGTCTTTTATAGTATCACTTAGGTCTTTGTTTCGCATCTTTTGCTATCTAAACTTATAGTATTTTAAATTATTTTTCTGCCTCCTATATCAACTTTTTTCCTTCAAAATTTACTTTTCACCATAGTTATTACATTATTTGTTGCGATTTGTTAGTACCATATAAGAAACAATTTTTTTCTCATCAATGCATTAGTAGTGGTAACAATAAAAATTAAATATCAAATTGTTAAGTATTTAAATTTCGAATTGGACTAGATCATCTAATTCGATCAGTGATGCAGAGATAGTCATAGGTCAATAGATTTTTCTCCCGGTAATGAAAATCAGCATTATTGGTGAGAAAAAGGGATACTTTTGCTTATCTTTCCACTAATATATTACATTATAAAATTTCCTATAATCATTTATTAATTTCATGAAGTAACGAAGGAAAAAACCTTTCAAACTTTATATATATTCACGGGATAACTTTTAATTTTTGCGTATAATTAACTAATTTCACGAATTGTTTGATTTGTTATATATAATTAAGGAAGCCTTGTTAAATAAGAAAACATTTATGAGAAGTTATTATTGCAAAATGATGAACAGAAATGAGATGAAACGGTGGTACTTCCCTATAATCAAACAGGGGCCGTATTTTATTCCATTTGCATGTAATAAAATTTGTCTTGTTGTTTAATGTAAGGAAAGACAAAGATGTTTGATATTTATGTAGCTGCTTACGGATTATATTTATTAATCAAGAGAGAGAGAGAGAGGGAGAGAGAAGAAAGATTCCATGGACTGTTTAAATTTGGTGATTACTCCACTCTCTCCTCAGAACAACGTTTTTTTTCCTTATAACGGTTTTATTCAGTAAGACTGAAGTAACGAAGGAAAAAACCTTTCAAACTTTATATATATTCACGGGATAACTTTTAATTTTTGCGTATAATTAACTAATTTCACGAATTCAGTAAGACTGGTTATTGACAGTGAAAGCGTGTATGTAAATTTTACTTGAAATTTATGTCATTCATCGAATAGTAACAAATTTATTATGGCTTTGTATCGAGAAGAGGGGTTTTCTTTCCGTTTTTTAGAATGCATAAAACAGATAACAGTGAGTGGATCACACATAACAATCCTGACATAGTACCGCTTTCAACGATACAGGGATATATTCAGAAAGGATTTTTTTATAAATGTCTTCTCAGTAAGTTAAACATTTTGTTGATCAAATTGCTTATTGAAAGAAGTCCCCGAAAATTCTAAATATTTGAATTTATTATAATGATTTTCCAGCATATAGCAGGTTAGTAGGTTGCTAGAATTGCTTTAGTATGTATCGTTTATAAACATGATTATTGTAAGATATTTGAAATTATCTAAATTCAGCAAGTGAAGCACGTAATTACTTTCGTAGTTAGATGAAGTTTTGTTAGAAAAGCAGAATTTTGGATAGATAAGGTTTTTATTTATTAAACTAATTCTATATGAAGTTTTTGCATTTGATATGGTATGGCATCCATATTGCTCCCTTTACAACCATTTTACAGTTTGAATGTGAGTACGTCAGTTTTTATAGATGTTGATATAAGTTATCTTAGTTTCACTTTATAAATTTGTATCATAGAGATTTATTGACATCAGCGCTTTTTTTGAAGAGAATATATCGAAGGATTTGGATGATTTTGGTTTACTCTATCAACCCGTTCGATCGGCATTAGCTACGCGGGTCCAAATGTCTAATTTACCGCCTTTGCTATTACCAGTAATTGCTGGGGAATATGTTCAAGCTCGTATTTCATATGTTGCTGGTAATGTTCGAGTTGATTTTTTAGTTACTAGATTTATAAGTGACCAACACTGTTTTTAGTTCATTAGAGTTGATTGATTCTTTGTTTCAGATTTTGACAGACTATTTGTACAGTTAGAGAATAATGCACGGACAATAATAAACATAGGCAAAAGACTTAGAGATCTTACAAAACAAAGACATATGCAATACTCTGAACCACTGTGCAATCCAGAATGTGGTACTATCGTAGCAGCATTGTAAGTCTTTATTTTTAAGAGAGGTTTTTGTCATGAGATTTGGTCATAATGTGTATTGCTTTAATGTGTATTCTACATATACATATGTTTTTCTTGGTAGTACCCAGAATCATGAGGGGCATTTCTAGATATACAATTGATCGTTGCTATTATCGAGCCTCTGTCTGCTCTAAAAATGGTATTGATTCTATAGTTGTAAGTTTTCCTTTGTCTCTTTACATTTTCATAATATGACATTGAAAGAACAACTATTGCACTCATTATTTTCAAGTAGTAATGCTAGCGTTATTTTGCACTATTACTCTACAAAGCAATTCCATAATCCTTTCATTTTCATTTTTATTAAGGTACTTTATATTGATTACGGGAATATGGCATCTGTTAACATCAACGATGCTTTTTTACTGAAAGATGCATATCTGTTATCAGTTCCTCCACAAGCCGTACAGCTAATCATCGAAGATGTGAGGAAACCTCGGCTGACTTCGGAACAGATCAGAAATTTGCTCACTGATCAAACTATTGCTGCACGGATAAGTATGCTCTTTTTTAGAAAACGTAGTTATGCAAGAAAAAAACGTCATAAAATAAACGTTAGAATTGCGTTCAAAAATAGTTTTTAACATTACATTAGTTATAGCCACTGAGATCATGAATCGGTATATAAACCGTTAGCAACCGAATTAATATTAAAACTGTTTACAAATATGAGTAATATAAACTTACTTCATTTTTCTCTATATATTTGATTAAAAAAGTGGAAGAAAGATTGTGGATTGCGAATTTAGTTACACATTTTACCAAACTTCCATGTCTGTATTGTTTATCCGTATCCCGATGAATAAAATGCACTTTATTTTTAATCTTCATATCTATAATCATTCAGTATTAATTTAAGATGATATGAAATGTTAGTATTAATCTAAGGTGATATCTGTTACTATTTATTCTTCCTCTTAGATGATGTAAGCGAGAATGGAGAATCGTTTATTGCAAATTTGTTTGTGAAGGACGAGAAATACAGAACTGTTAATCTTATGGAAGTAATACTTGGTGAAAGGCCAGCACCGACGTTGCCTGTTCCGAAACGTCAGTTTTTTTTTCAGTTGAGATTTTTTATTTTTTTAAATTTTTACGTTATTCAGTTTTGCAACAATAATGTTTCGATAAGCTTCGTCTTAGTGACACATTTGGTTCCTCACCCATATATCTTGCAATTCCGCAACTGGCGTTATTCAAGTTGTGCCGTATGTCTCACACATTGAAGTGTAGAAATTTTGAATAAAATATTTGAAGTCTTGAGAATAAAAACTCTGTTGTCTTGTCACCATCTGAAGAATTGCTCTTCACTGGGTTAGTTTCACATTTAGAATATTTTTCTTCCTCATTTTTTGTTTCAAATAGATAATTTAAATTGGGAAAATTTTGTAGCGGCTATTATTGACAGCTTTTTGGATAATGAAAGCGAATTAGTGGATTGCACATGCCGTAAGTTTTCATTCTTCAATTTTGATAAGCTTAGATTTTTTTCTTATGGTTTACATGGCATTTCGCTCTCTCTTTTCTCTTTGTTGCAATCTAAATTCAACAATGCATTCATATATATATCTCTTGCGGACATTCAAATTTTGGTGTTTCGGAATATTATGTTGTCACTGAACAGTGTATTGTATTCTTCCAAGATTTTAACATTTTAATCTTCAAGATGTTTTATATTGTCTCTTTTATTTTGAGGAGAGTTTCCAATGCAAAACTGTAAGGGATGCTCTCATGTAAGTTATACAAAATCCTGCAAGCGCCAACTCTTTGCAGGTTATGATTACGGTTTCAACAGTAGTAAAATTTCTGAAAGTTGTGGCTTCTGTGGAGGCTCTTTTGAAAATAATTTCTGAGTTTTTAGCTGCTGCTATTTTGTTAGAAATTTATTGGGTGCATAGTTTTTCCTTGAAAATCTCAAAAATGTTTGCTCCAAATTTTGTCCATCTAAATGAGCAGTGCATTAGCAGAAAGTTCTGAGCATACAATCGATATTTGAAGAACAATTTGAAAATCTGAGAAACGATTTCATTAACAGTTTCGGTAGATGTAGCAGTTGAAGTAATAATAACAGATGATTTGAAGGTGGCGGATGGAATAGAATTTCCGAGAGTAATTGTAAGACCGATGGCCTTAGAAAACAAAATCGCAGTGGAAGTTTCTCGATCAACTTTCGCGGTAATATCAGTCATAATTTTAATGGCCATAGTAGTGGAAGTGCTGCAAAAAAAGCGATAGAAGTTTATTATGGGACATTATGTAGTGTATTAATTCATAGGCCATGGGTTTTATGAGAGTTTTATTCTTCTATGGGGATTGAATGTGATTTTTGCAGTGTGTCATAATTGTGGGGAGTCCGGACATTTGGCTCCTCAGTGTCCGATTTATCGTAGAAGTGGTTTTGCTAAAGATAAAAGCAGCGATGACAGTAGAAGGCAAAGATTCGTTGGTAATGGTTGTTTTACTGGATCTTCTTACACCAGCATTAACGGAATTAAAGGACGTAACGGTATTTTTAAGGACGTAACTTTATTCCAGGATTTGACGAATCGAGAAGCATGGATAGTTTTTAACATTTTAATACCGGACAGATAGAATGTCCACTTTTTTCGATGAAATTTTTATATAATTTTTAACGAAACTTACAGGGAATCGCTCATCAGGGAGAAAAAATCAATCGCCTCGTCTGTTCCTTGACCGTGATACTCATGTTTGTTCTTTCACATGTAGTATATTTTCTAAACCACATTAGCTTATCTTACCGCCATCTTGTCTTTCGAATTCTTAGTTTGTAATCAGGAAGTTCAACTGCAGCATGGTGATACCGCTATTGGTAAGAGCGGTTGGAAATCAGGTAATTGGACAACGGAAAATGCAGCAGAAAGTGAGAACAGTGGTTTCGAAAAAAAGATGGATAAGAAGAAAGATACAGAAAATTGGATTGTGAATGAAGGCATGTGGGAAGTTAATAATGGTGATAATAGGAATCAAGTCGAAGCATTCGAAGCATGCGAGCCTACTGATAATAGGAATCAAGTCGAAACATTCGAAAGAACATCCAGAAATCTTATAGCTCCATTGGCGCACAGTAATTTTGATGGTGTTGGAAACCGCATAAATGCAGAGTCTGTAAGAAATATGCCGGCATTATTCAATTTTTTTTCTCCTTTTTCTCCATTTCTTTGCGATATCTTATTATGAGGGAAATAGTAAGAATTGGAAGGGATGTTGCCTACAAACCTGGTAAGCGGATGTTAGTTGGAATGATCAGGAATCTGAACAACCGATCGGGAAATTAAATAAGGTGATATTATAAGACAGATCGACTTGCATTCTGTCTGTGTCTAATTTGCATTTTTATCAATATCCTAACGGGTCAGAGAGTCCAGATGAACTTGACCATTAATCATTCTAATTTAACAATGGTTGTGGAAAATTAGTATGCTATTTATATTTTACTAATTTGTACATTTATGTATGGGTTTCAAGTATTTGAAATTCTAAATAATTGAAGGTTTTAGTGTACTGAATCGATTGAGGCCTCTGAAAATTTATTGATAAATGCATTTGACGTTTCACTGCCACCCGATTCGGAGGTTGATAGTGGAGGAGCCAATGGAACTAAAACGACGAATGGAGGTCTTTCAAATTATGGGGTAATTCAGTTAATGAATCATTACTAAAGCATTGCAAACAATTGCACAGTCTTTTCCAATTTGTGGAAACGTTCGCTTTGATTTAACTATGTTTGGTCTATTGTATCCGCGTTGTAAATGGCTTTTTTTCATGATTATCAAATTATTGATGGATCTTTTTTTCCTAATGGATCTTTTTCTTATACTTCTCAGTGATTTCGTTATTAATATTATTTCTAGAACAGTTATTATTGTTGTCTTATGCTGTTCTGGTTTTTCTCGCACTCTGTTTTCATTTTTTTCCAATGTAATTAAACCTTGCATTAGCAAGTGCGATGTCAGATAGAGGCGTTGGGTAGTTTGGAAGTAAAACCAAGCATATATTTCTACCTAAACAAAAACAGCAATAACATATATTGCTATTGCTAAGGTATCAAGAATGACTACTGTACACTCAAAATTCTTGACTCTATTCAGAGAGTAAAGAGCGGGAAATGAGATTCTTTCTTTCCACATTTTAATAATGTTTTTGTTTCTGTATTGAAGGTAGGTTAGCATGTAGTAATTAATGAACACTAGATTGATAATTATTGAACTTTAAATCTTTTTCCCTGCTCATTATTCGGTCCGTGAGGAAGACCATATTCCTTTTATGATATTCTTGCTGAACTTCACTTATTTGAGTGATCTGCCTTTTTACTGACTTTTCTCATTTTTTCCTCTTTTTGCCTGATGAAGTCACTCTTTTGCTTGTTAATCTGTGCAGAAATTTTTGGTAAGTAAAATTCTCGTTGATGCTGTCTGTCTATTTGGTTCATCATAGTGACCTGAGTTTTTTTCAAGCATATACCAAAATATTATTTAGACATCGAATGAACCAAATAATGACCTGTTGTCATTGAGCACACTTAATCGTATCGAATCAGCAAGCCTTGAAGAAATCAAGTTCGGTGATACTGTTGGCGGTCTGCGCTCAGATGGCTCGGTGAGATTTTATATGATGTTTTGGATTCCTATAAATTTATGTTCTTATCACTTAATCACAATTAACGCTCTTGTCGGTGTCTGACTTTTTCTTCATTTGAAAGCAAAAACAGTTTGTTGATCTGTCTTCAAGAATATGGCAATTCTATCATTCTTTTTTCTTTGTTTTCAATCAAGATCTGGATATAAAGTCTTAAGGCATTTCTTTTCAGTTATGCATGCTTATGTTTAGGCGGAAGCTGACCCATTATCATTTTTTGTGCAGTTGGATCGTGATAAAAATAATATTGAGCATTTGATATTGTCGGATGCTCAGTTGCCAGCTAACCTTCCAAAGTTGTTTTCATTCGAAATTTCTCAAGCTTGTGTTGCACTTTTCATGGGATATTATTATCGAGCAGAAATCATTAGCGAAGAAAATAGCATTAAGTATGGCATTTATAAGCAATTTTTTTGTCATTTTTAGCTTTCTCTGTTTTCTTTATTTTTATTATTCTCGGTAGGCTGTAGACAAAACTAAAAATTATTTCTTTGAAGGAAAAGAATCCTATTCGTTGATTATGGTAATGTGGAAGTTGTGGAAACATCTATACTTTACGTTATCGATAAGTCTCTTCCCGATCAATTCTATTCATCAAGGAGATTAGCCCTCCATTGTCGGTTACACGGTATCATGCCAGTGGCTTCTAAAGTCAGTTTGGTCGTTCGTTGAAAAAAATGTGTTTTCTTAGTAATCTGTTGCTGAAAATTTGGCAATGATTATAAGATTAGATTTTTTTTCCAAAAATATTATGCTTTAAAAGATACTATAATTGAAATGTCTGAATGAATAATTCAGTTCTTCAAACAGTTCAAAGTATAAAGTTATTGCATTTTTGACTTTATTATAATAAATGTCATCGATTTTTAAATAATTGAATCTATTCACATCTTCCTGTGAAATCCAAAATGGAAATGTTTTTGCAATTTGGTGTTATTATTAATTGAGATTGAAGCTTTAAATAATCTGAAGGATAATATCCTATGGTCTGGAAAAAACATGTCGATTGACCAGAATTATACAGCTACAATCTACTGACATCCTCCTCATGGGTTGGCTGAATTAAATGGAAATACTTTGATAGCTAAGATTACGGGATTCTACCAAATTTAGTGGAAATTATGTGAGGTGATATTCCGGAGTACTGAGGAACGAAATAAGGCTCACTTTTGATGATTTTAATCTTTTTATGATGTTATTCTTGAGGGTTTTCCGCTTACAGTTTCTGTGTTTTTCAAAAATTTTCTGGTGCACATAGATGAAATTTATTTTTCAGCATTCATTCGATCCGGAAGCTCGAAAAGTATTCTCAGAATTGACCGCTAATGAGAAGCTATTCATATGTTTCTTGCAACAATCAGTGAAAGGTATTTATGAAGTGACGATTATGCTTAGTAATGGACATTTCGTTTCCGATATCCTGATTTCAAGGTATCTCATGTTAAGAAGTGGTTTTCTGTAAATTTCTAGAAGTTAGCAACATTTCAATTTGTTATTGAATGTGTCTTTGATATAATATAGATAATTTACAGAGGTTTCGCTGTTCCATTCAAATGGGGTATTGGACCATCGTTGCCACTTTATGAAACATTGGATGTTCTTCGGTCTGACGAATTTGATCATGTTCATCCTGTTTTTACTGTTCAGTTATCAGATAGCCTTGCGCAGCTTGAACGGGTGAATTATAACTTAAGATGCCAGCACTGAAGAATCTAAAATTTGAATTTCGTACCCTAACCTTTTGCAGGAAGAGAAATCACCTTTTTTCTTAATTTTCCTCAACTTTTTTCAAATTTTGACCAATATGTAGGTGTTCTTAATTAGGCAGTTGCAGAAGAATGCTCAATTTAATTTTTGGTTTATTTTTCAAGGGCGAATTGTGAAAGCATTATAGTCAGCACAAAACATAGGTAATATGAGCCAGTTTTATTGATAGAATTTTCAATTAGCAGTCTGTTTTCACGGAGACTTAACATATGGAATAACAAGAACATGTGAAAGTGCATACTATCATATTTCCAATGAGAAAAGGAAGAACCAAATAAGTTTTAAACGGTTTCTTCCTTAACTTTCAGTTAAACAATGGATATGTGGATAATAAAAAAGTGGTAGAAGTACCACAAATTGGTGATGTTGTTATTTCATACTTCGAAGAATCGCCATATCGGGCAGAAATAATTGCCATGGAAATTGATGGTGATAGTATAGCATATCGTGTGTGTTATGTTGATTATGGCAATGAAAGCCTCTGCGCCAAAGAAGAATTGTTCGAGTTGGATAGAGACCAACAGCCTGATGTAAATTTATTTTACTTACTTTTTTAACTTACAAGTTGATTTTGAACCATATCAAACACAGGTTTATTAATCAAGTTCATAAAGCAAGAAAATGTTAAAGTGTTGTAATATAATCCTTTTATTAAATATTCATTCAGTACGTATAGTAAATTCAACAATAAAAAACTGCATTTAATTTTTTATAATCTAATACTCTTGGCGAGTGCTTTTCTTTTTCAGTGTTTCTGATGAGAAAAAAGGATTCGGTTTCTGCATATTAATTGTTTGAATTTTGAGAATGTATGTTAGAAATTAGTGTTATAATGAATGTTTTAATTTATTGTGTGGTTTTTGAATTCATCTATTATGATCTTTTATTTAGTTGTTGCTTCGAATGCTTGTTTAATTTTTTTTCTTTTTTAGGAAATACTTTATACTCCTCGACAAAGTTTCCGATGCCGAATCGATGGTGTTCGACCTTTAAATCATAAGGAAGAGTGGCCTGAAGAAGTACAAAAATTCATTGACAGTTTGCTAGCTCCTTCCACTTCATTCGAAGCCACTGTTGGTAGTCCAAGTACGGATGGAGTTTATCCTATTAGAGTTAGTTGTTTATCTGGGAAAGAAAGTACACTGGAACATATTTCAGTTATTGGCCAGCTCTGCTTTTTCCTTAAAGAATTAGGGCTGATGGACATATTTTTTTATTACATTTTGAAATATTTCATGCATTTTCAAAATTTCAAAAATTTTAAAGACTAATAGTCGACGATAACAGATTATGGTACTCAAGAATCAGTTGAATGAAAAGGATGGCTTGGGAGCTGATGAAATAAATAACATTAATGATAAAGTTGAACTGGCGAACTGGTTAATTGCAAGTGGTTACGCAGAAATGCGAGATATTTGGAGAGACTATCCAGTAAAGAATTTATTAGCCGATGGTGAACATGAATACGAAATGTTCATTACAGAAGTCGATGGACAAATCATTCATGCACGGCCATATATTTTTGCTGAACAATATAATAAAATGAAGAAGGCATGTTATACAGATCGTTGAAATGGTCTTTCAGCTCATATTCATGTTCTGATTTATTCGAAGCTTTCAAGTTTCATGTTTAGCTTAACCTATTCTACATCATCTACAAATTATCTTTCTGAAAATTCTTCTTACTGTAAGCTCTTTGGACTGTTCTTTTTTTTTCAGTACATTGTTTAGACTACTGATATTTAATTGGCAAAATATGCTTTAACTAGTCGTGAAGTTTGTGAATAATTTACACATAACAAATTTTCAATCTTTTAAACTTTAGGCACTTGCAAACATTGAAACAGTTCCTCTTGCAACTGGTGCAACTACTGGCTTAATTTCTTTGAACAACGAAAATAAACGTGCTGTGTTGGTCTCTTCAGCAAATGATGCCACGCCAAAGAAGTGTTTATTAGTCGATGAAGGAATTTCAGTTGAAGAGATACCCTCTCAGTTTTTTGGGATTGGTGAATTATGTGAGTTGCTTTTTTGAAATTTTTGTGTTTATCTATTGCCTACTGGAAAATTCTGTGCTGTTTTATTTCTGCAAAACTCGGATACTTAAGTTTTGTTTAAATGCTACAGGCTTCCTGAAAGTTTTTAAGGCTAAGTGATACTGAGCTGAGTGATAATTTATTTTAAAGTGCATCAAATGAAAAGTTTGATGTAATATTGAAATCTTCCAAAACCCCAAAATGCTATCTTATATCGTCATATATCTATCATATGTACTGAGATAGCAAATGAAACATAATGAAATTTAAAAATAAATTTTAAAGAAAAGTACAATTTTAGAATGATGTGTTGGGTCCCATTGCAGGTGATTCTGACGGGTTCTTAGTGCGAACATGCCATCGCTTGTCAGTACGGCTGAGATTTACTGAACTCTTGCTTAACGAGAAGTTGAAAGAAACGATAATGAATAGTGCAGCAGACGATGCAGTTAAAGTCATTCTTGTTAAATACAATGAAGTACGTTTTTACAGCATGACGCTTATGGCAGATGTTGAGATGTCACAGTGCTCTATGTTATTCAGAAGTTCTTACGAAATTCTAGTGTAAATCTTTACTATATTCATAGTTTTCCAGAATATTTTCATTATTTCCAGGACAGTAGCTACTTAATAAGTGACATCCTTTTCTCTGATGGCACAGCTTTAATGGAAAAACTCAAAAAAGCAAGGCAGGACAGAATTGATGGGAAGGAATCAGCACAAGATTTTGATGTTAGTGACCTTAAGCAGGCTTCTAGTAGAAGTTCAAATCAAGGTAAGAAGTGAACATTTACTGTTTATTTGAGAATTAACTATAAAACAATTAACTATATTAACTATAAATTAACTATAATTAATTATATAAAACAATTTGCGAAGGTACTGACAGTTATCACAAAATGTAGTAAGAAGTTTGTGTTTATGCTCTACCATTTTTGCCAAAACTTTCTCTGAATTATAATGCTAATTAAATTGGTGTAGAGGATTATAGTCTACCTTGTTGATGTTTCCGTTGAACTTCATTCGAAAAAGCTGAAATTTTAGACGAAAAAGCAGTAGATTTGAATCCGCTAAATAACGGAATGAAGCAAATTGAATGCAGCGAAAATTTAATCACGAATCAGGTTCCTGATTTGAAGCCTCAGGTTTGATTTTAGAACACTGGATAGATATTGATTGAGAATGATTTTAACAAACGGTTTGCAAAATTACGTCGGTAAAAATTTGAATGATGCAACAAATTAAAGATGCTGAAAATTTTTTTACCATAGCCAAAGTGGGGTAGATCGAGGTAGTCATAGAAAAGCTGCAGGATATATACATAATATCATTGAAAGGTTTAGATTGCAGGCAACAATTTTTCAGGCATCGGAAATATCGAATGGTATTTTCGGCGATATGAATAAAGATTGTAGAACATTCGATCCTGAAATTATTGCTGTTCTGGATTCGTTGGTAGCAGGCGTTTCAAAATTTGATGAAGTTCAGTGATATAAACTTGTTGAGTTTTTTAGCGATTTCAATATTTGATTTGTAATTATTATTCCGTCAGCTTTAAGTCATTTGATAGTCGATAACTCTTGGCTTTATTCTCTGTGTTAGACCACCAAATATATATATTCTGTGTGATTAAAAAGAAATGAATTTCTAAATCCATATTGACGAGTAAGACTTTCTGGAGAAAGGTCATCACTATAATTTCACCAACAAAATAATCGACGTTATAACAGAATGAATTATTCTGTTTAGTTTAATGGGTTCTGATATTACTGTCTGTGTTTCTAATGGCTAGAAAAATCTTTAAGTTTCGAATAATTTGATTTTCAAAAAAATTTCGAACTCTTCTATTTTTTAGGCATGATTTTCGTTTCTGTAGTAATCTTCCTAATGGATTCCATCACATCTGTTATCTTTTTTTACTTCTTTTCCAATTTACTACTTTTAACATGAAGTTATAATTGATGCTTTGTACATTTGTCCAGCAGTTGTTTTCTTGTCGTATTATTCATCACTGTCTGTATTAACTGTTTTTTACCATAGCCAAAGTGGGGTAGATCGAGGTAGTCATAGAAAAGCTGCAAGATATATACATAATATCATTGAAAGGTTTAGATTGCAGGCACATACATTTGCTAATTGACTTCGTTAGCGTTTATCACTTTTTATGGGTATTGTTTTTGTGTTCAGTCTCTTGCAACTATTTATGTTGATTTCTTTGCACATCTTTTTATTAGGGCATGTATAAATCGCAGTTTTAGCTTTTCATTAAATCAAAAAATAAAAACAAAAAAAAAACAGACATAGCAATAAGCACTTTCGGTGCAACGTATATTACTGCATAAAATTATGCAATTATCCGGTATGATGCCATTTCTTTACTTTTGAATTCAATTGAACAGTTGTTATTGCTAATGTGTCTTCCAGAATTGAATGAGGATGACAGGTGAGTAAGAGTAACAAGTTTAATTGTATTTCTTGTAATTGTTCGAGTTCTATCCCAACTTTTTTTCCCAAAATTTAGCTGAATATTTCGAACTTTTATGAATACGCGGGAGTAAATCCAAAGATGAGAGATGTCTGACAGTCAATAATCTTATCAATGGATGGGTTATATGGAATAGTGCATTATTGAGGTTGTTGAGTGCCTAAGAAATACCGAAAATATTGCATGTAAATTATATATCATACCAAGCAAATTATTTGTAATAATAAAGTCTTTAAATTAGTAATGTATATTTTAGTTCAATTTAAATTATAATTTTAAAAATTTTAGCGATGAATATAATGTTTGCTGTGGGGGTTTGCATTCGTACGTGGCAAGCGTATTCTTTTGTGTGATCGATTTCTGGTCAACATGCTCAATGTTTCTACTCATTGTTTTGTTCCATTATTATGATGTAAAATTTTTTAAAATTTTCAAGAAACAAAATTATTCGGAAAGTTGAAATGCAAATATTCCCAAAAAACAAAAACTTATTTCTTCGAAGAATTTATTACCTTTTATTATAGCCGTGATTTATATCTTTAAATGCGAAAGAATGGATGAAGATTTTTATCAGAAGTAATTATTGAAGAATTAAATATAGTTTAAGAAATCATTTAAAGTAAGGAGTTTAAAAACATGGAATTAGTCAACAGAAATAAGAAAATATAAAATCAAAGTCGGCCATTTATAGAGATATTATTATGTTTCTGATTTTAACAATGCTTGAGATTTTTGTTTGGATCTGAAAAATTTCCATAATAACTCTATTAATATCTTCATATTCAAATTTTTTCAAAAATTTGAATTTCAAAAGTGCAAAAGATTCATATTATTCAAGCTTAGAAACATTTCTTTCTGTAACACAAAATTTTCAAAGAATCTCAAATATATGATGACATAAATACAAAAGCCATCGTAAAGTCGAATATATTTTAAACACAGCATACCGCTTAAATTGTCTAAAATTTATTCTCTATTTTTTTAAACTGAATAGAGAAGTTGAAAATTCAAGAATTTCTATATCTCTCACATTGTTCAGTCATAATTTTAAACAATATTTTGAGCATACAATTAAAATTATCTCAAAATTTTGAAATTTGAAATGTGAATGCTTATAACGTACTAATTGTTTGCATTGCGTAAATTTCACTTTTGTCATATACAGCAAATTTCTCAAATAAGTGCTTTTGATAATAATAATTTTTGATAATGAATGTTTTTAGGAACCATTAACATTGTCAGTAAAAGTACCGTTGTTTGTTCTCTATATTTCTGTCTTATCATATCTTTCAGGACCTGTTGGGCTATACACTGGTGTAAATTTTTTTTTTTCAAATAGGAAAATGAAAGATGAAAAAGGACGTAATCATAATTTGTAAAAGGCAAGGAAAATTTACAAACCCGAAGTTTGACTTCAAATTTTCGAATTGAGTTTTGAAAGAAACTTCCTTTGTTTTAATTATCTGGACTTATTTGACTTTCCAAATTCGCAGCCTTTGCAAAGATCAAATATGATAAAGTATGGGAACAAATAATATATAATAATGAACAGTAAAGATGTAAATGTAATGTAAATTTTCTAAAAAAATTTCAGCATATGCTTCTTATAGCATTATATTATTACCGAATTGTTGTTATGTTCTTTTTTTCCTTAACATGGGCGGTTATCAATTCCAGTAAGCGAAAAACTGTCTTAGGTGAGTTATCAGAATTCTCATAATCATCAATCATCCTTTGCAAGTTATCCATCTTTGATGCATGCAAAGTCTGTAGTCATCTATCGGTCATCCCGAAAGACATTTGTGATAAAAACCGTTGAACCGTTCTAAACAGTCTATTTCTCAATCAGTAAATTATTAATTGTTTGGATTTAGCTATGTTTAGCTTTTTGTACTTTGAAAAATTCGAATTGTTCAAAATTTTAAAAGTTCCCATTAATTTCAACAAGTTTAGCAAAATTAAATGAGCGAAAGCTTTTATTTGCTGCACAGTTCAAACCACTAAGTTGTTATGTTCTGATTGGTCAATTAGTGAAATTTGATATTAATTGCCAGAGATAGCTGAACTTGTTTACTTGGCAAGTAAAATTATCTCAACAACAAATTTATAATTGCTGTAGCTTACCTCTTCTCATATTGCTCTCAGTGTTAAAATATTCCTGAGTATTTCATAATTTAAAGAAATTACAGACATTGTTCTTACAATATTGTGGTCTTTGACGGCATTTACCTATTTTGTTGGATTGTATGTTCATAGATGGACGTATAAGTTTTTCAGCACTCGGTTAACTCTTAACATTTGTTACTATTTGATATTTTGAGGAAATTGTTGGGAATTTATAAGGGCATTGCTGATCAGCAGAAAAACGGATTATCTTATAAATGCACAAAATTTGAGAATTTTTGCTATGTTGTTCACATATTTCAATTAAAGGATGAAAATGTGAAGAGAACTCACATTTATTATTATATCCACTAACGTTTAAGAAATTGGATCCCTTCATTATCGCTTAGATAATTAATTACCAAATAAAACAAACAACATCAACTATCCGATCCATATATGGAATGTATTTGCTTTTTGTTGTATCTCAAATATGAACACAGAATAGCTTATTTGACATGCAAAATATATTCTTTCTAAACCTACTGAACAATGAATGTTAATTTTAATGCTGCCGGTTTTACAGATGGGCAGGATATGATGATGGTGATTTAATATTTGCTGCCAAGTTACGAGCTCAAGGTTTACCTGTTGCAGCTTACAATATGCGCGAATATTTCGCTTCCATCAATCTAGAACATGAATCTGCAAGACAGTATAACAACGGCTTCGCAGTTGCAATTACGCCAAAAAAAGATTAGATCGCTAAAATGAGTGACGTTAAATCAATGACTAAATGGCGTTCAGAATTTTGATATTGAGGATTAATATTTCGATGATAAATTCGTGCATATATTTAGCAATACATTTATTTCTTGTTTTCTCTTTTCTTCGTATAGCATTCCACTTAATAACTAATTTAAAAAATTGTATAAAGTTTTCCGAAAGGATTCTACGCGGCACGCGTAACACTTACGCAAAAGGGAGTTCAGAAAGGATTCTATCTGCACAAAAATTGTAGCCAAATGAAAAAGAACAGACAGAAATTACTGCAAACATTTATCTTAATCAAATTGGTGCGTTCTACAAATTAAATTAAATGAGATCGTATTAGAAATGCCAAAAACAAAACGAAATGGACCATATGTATGGAAATCGGAGATAAAAAGGTATGATTGGATGACGTGATTAATTTATAAGGCGAGGAAATAACATGAAAATCCGATCCATGGTTGAGACAAATCCATAGTTGTTGATAGTCCATTAAGCTATAAAATTTCAATTACTTTGATCAATATCTAACAAATTAGGAAGATCTATCGTTCTCGTAGCACTGTTATTTAATTAAATAAATTTCTAAAATTAATAAATAAATCTGAGTAAATAATGCAAAACATTGTGAAACGGAGGCACAGAATGATGAGTGCAAAGGACAGCGCTAAAATCGTAATGTATAAAATACAGATCAATAATAACATATAGCAAAGTACAATAATATCTTTAAAAAATATCATTAATCGTGCATCATTGGCACAACAGTTGAAAAGAAATGAAACATTACTGTGACTGAATTCAATCGATGCCTTACTTGAGGTTTTTTTTTAGTTCCTCCTAGACTTATCCTGTCAATTAATTCCACCACATGAGAACCCTCTCTTCTACATATGAAATAAACTCCTAAAATCTTCAGCATGAGTTATATCACGAAATGCTAATTAATGCATCATTTTTTTCGACAAAACTGATTTCTCTGCACTTCAGTCTGTAAATATAATCAAATTAACAAATAGTGAAACTAAACTTAGAAGTGAAAGTTCAAAACTGTAAATATTTTATGAGCAATAATAACACAAACTTTAGTTTAGAACAATGCCAACCATTTTTTTTAAAGCGATCCAATCTGACTGTATGGATCAATGATACCTTCGAAAGGTACCTTATATAAAACGGGATCGTATCTTGAAACGCTTGTAACTAATGGATTATAGCCAAAATATGAAATAAATAAGTTAATACAAGTAGAACGCTGGAGCAAATGTGGGGTATTCCATGTTGATATATCATTGTTAATACATTCTGAAAAACAAAAATATTTACTGCACCTAATTTTAACTTCGAACTCATTACAGCATTTCTCAAATTTAAATAAAAATGGCAAACTAAAAAGACTAACGGTATCAACAGTACTAAAACACATACAACAATCGAACAAACATATTCAGCTCTCCAATGTAAATTTCGATCATGCCTTCTTCTCTATTTAGTACATAAAATATTTTATCTACGTTCAAACATGCGCCGAATTATATATGGATAGAAATTATGCTTAACCTGCATAATTCCTATCCAATAACAAAATAATTGCATTTGTGATATCTGATAAGGGATACTTACTTGGACAAACGAACTTTTTTCGTGGTGTAATCTTTAATGGACTTTTTCCAGTAACATCGCTAATTAGAAAATTCATTGCAATATCCTCACAGTTTTTATTCCTTTCCACATAATCTATTATTTCTGGTGGCAATAACTCGTGATATAACATTCCGTAATACTGCAAAAAGGAATTAATTATGAAGCTGTATGAAATTAATGCAATACCATAAAAATAATGCTTCTTTTTATTCCGAAAAAAAATAGGGTTGGGGATAACAAGCTTCATTACACCTTATGATAAAATGCAGCTCCCATCAGAATAATATTCATCGAATTTGCCCACTCCACATGGTATTCGTATGACTTGGTAGACTCATTAAAAACAGCAATTCTTGGCAAAAATCCCACTAGGCGGTCCGGATTTTCTCGCCAAATCTGAAATAGTGAATATGAAATTGCACTACATATTTCATTAAACTTTGTACAACAATAGCGTAAATTGAACAAATTAAATTAAAATCACTACTTATAAACACTATGTATGGAGGACTTCTTTTATTAAACTATTGCTGAGATTTTTGATTACTGAAAATTTCTAAAGTGGTACGATACTTGATAGCCAAATTCAATTTCATCAACATTCACAGCAATTATGTCCTCATCAAGTGTGAATACGGCATCTGTCGTTATTTCCGAGAACATGATAAATCGATTGGACAGCATATTTTGCTCCATATGGATCACATGGATGGGTCGATTTATGTGTGGCCATTCGGTCACTGTAAAAACGTCGGTTATAATATATAACTCTATAATATAAAGAAAAAACAGAAGAAATCTGTGACAAAGAGCGCTAATGCTGAAAGTATATTAAATTCTTGAAATATATTCGTTTTTTTTTTCTTCCTATATCACATGTTATTATCATTTATCATCACATATAAGAATAATTCTCATGAATATGCAGGAATTGACAAGCAGCCAGGAAGCTAGTGGATAAAAAATTTACTTGGAGGAGGTTCACGGGGATGATTCCATACAACGATAACGCTTCGCAAACTTGCAACTTTAGCAAGCAATCGTATAATGACGAACAAAGAATCCAGTTTGTTGTATGTCAAGATAACACCCGTAAAACCTTCGGCAGAAGCGTGAAAAGGAAGGAAGAATGATGGAACAAGAGAATGCTGTAATCCAGATATAAGTCCAGTCAGCGTAACGTGATTATGTTATTAGACTTTCAATTTAGAAATAGTAGAGTATAAAACATATGGTTAAAATAAAAGTTAGGAAACATTCTTAGAAGATTCTGAAATCTATTCTACCTTTGATGATTTGCAATTCCATTCATCGTATGTTGTAAATGAATTAGGAATAATACGCCTCTCCAAAATGTTTAAAGTCGTAAGGACAATTTTTTCAAGTGAAGAAAAATAACGACTATATATGAAAGAAATCTGTTCTCTCATGCGTTGTTTTCGTTCAGGCGGCAAACCTCGTAAGAATGCAAGGATAGAAGACAGACGACTTCGGGAAAAAGTTAACGACAATCTGAAAGGGCAGGGATAAGTAAAATATAATTTCTTAGACTAAAATACTTAAATTTTTGTTTCAGGAACTTCTTGCAATATCAAAGCATAGTATACCCATATTCACGAGATGAAATGCCTGAATGGACGTTGATAAGAATTCTCTGTATATATTTTCTATTTTGGGTTCCCAAGAGTTTCAAATGTATTTAATAACTAACAAATCCCAATTGATCACTTCATTGAATGGCAGAACAATAGAATCCGAGATTATAACAGGAATGGAGCCAACACGTAAAGCTGACATTAAGAGCAGCTCAGATCCAGCAACTCGATCATCAATCAGAGTAAACTGACTTTCCTGAAATTTTTTCAAATAATTTCAAAATAAATATACTTGAACCAACCCGTAATTCCTGAATATGGAGGTATGAAGGTATTTCTTTATTCATCCTTTCTTTATTCAGTGGTCACGATATCACTTCCTTTGATTTCTTAATTGCCATTATCAAATTGTAGGAAATTAATTTATAAGGACAACATTTCAGTTAATGCTGATATTGAATAAAAGGCCTTTTTATTAATAGGAAAATCCGAACCTTGACAATTGTACCTAAATTATGGGCATTTCCACGACTATCGCACAAAAAATTTCCATCGTTTACATTGCAGTCGTCCAAGACAAGACAATCATTTTTGTTAAACAAGTTTTTTAATAGTACTTTAACATTGTGAGAAGCAAATTTTATCGGTATAACGATAAAATATGAAAATTTCTCGACAGAGGACAAGAAAGACGATGATAAAGCATAGGGGTTCCATAAAGGCAGTGATAAATCGAAGCCGCGTCGAAAGGTTTTACGATGAGATCCAGTCCTGTAAGTAAATCTATCATTACGTCCAGAATAATGTTTGAAAAGTACCAACAATCACCTATTTCCCATGCTCCCAATCTATTCTTTGCCACTTATCGAGGTATGAAGATTTAGACGAACTGAACACACATAGGTATTATGCAGAAATACACATAAGCATTATAGCAGATTTTCATGATGAGAAAAACCAACCTAGCAATAATAGCATTAATATCAAGAAGATTGGCACCAGCAAATGCAAATATGAGTACGTTGTGGTTGCTTAGGCGAGCACCTGCATTGAAATTTTTCGAAAAGGAAGATTCACTGTTATCGAAACGATAAATATTAAGGGTATCAAATCCAGGCACAACAAGGCAGGCATCTTCAATTGCATTAACTCTATATCTGGACCGTTCAATGACTGAACGTATCTCGAGATATTCGTTTGAAGGTGATGGCGTAATATCCTTGCCACTCTGAAACATAACCGAACTTCAGACAAATTTTAACTTCAAATCCTTTATATTAGATTAATGCGCAGACTGTCTCAGTGGGTTTTATTATTCAATAACGGCTTATTTCTACGCTTTCTTTCTTTGTTCTAACATTCATCAAAAAAACAATTCACCTCATCGATAACCCGTATGAATGGTTCAATAAAAACAGTTAGCTGGTCGTCATGAAGTGAACATGGCAACAAAGAGAGACATGTATCTGTTGTACAATTTTTGCCACTCTCCAACTTTTCTACACCATCCGAAGAGATATGGTACTCCAAAATCTGTTGGTATTGTCTCTCCTCGTGAAAGTTCAAGAGAGTAAATCCGAGAATTAATGCAATCAATGACACAACAATTCTGCTGCAGCCGCATCGCATTCCTCATAAATATTCAAAACAGAGAAGCGAGAATGCATATCTCCCTCGGCAAATCATTACCAAACCTAAAAAATTGTTAAGCATGATTGTCACCAAAACTCGCAAAAGTTTGCAGTCACCCAAGTAACAGTCAAATCAATCCGTTTAATCTATTCACTATATATTATGTGCTTAATTGGGGCAACCTATTTCATAGCATTTTTCACTCAGTCTGAAAAAACTCGAAATAATACTTGACGACCTGTTAATCCAATAAAGTGTGCATCAAGTTTCTGAATAATGAACAGTTTATTAATAGCAATGGTGAGAAAAAAAATGAAAAATCAAAGTCGAAGGATAAAAAAGTAAAAAGTAGCAGTCATACATAAAATCCTAACAAGTACTATGACTGTAACAAATACTGCATTAATTCAACATTGGGAAGACTGAATCTTACAGACTAATGGAGAACTATCAAAAGGAACCTATCAAAACTAACATCTTATTAAAACTTCAAAAAACCTAAAACTCTGAATGGCACCATCACAAATTACCAATATTTCGTATTCGATATAATTTTGATCACCTGACATTTAATAGTGAACATATTACAAATAATAAAATATAATAAAACTCCATAATACATAAGAACATTTCGCAGAAACAAAGAATTAAATTACACATAATCAAAATTTCATCAAAAAACTCTTATTCATAAGTGCTCCAATTTCAGATTTATAAAACTAAGTAAGTTTTAGAAAATAGTTCTATTTTCAGGACATTCCATACACCGAATATCTCATCCTTTCTCACTCTATATAAAATCTTTCCAATGAAATGTGAGATAAAAACACATTGGCTAACATTTTGACTACAATAAAAAACAAAAATGTAACGCTAAATAATAAACATACACAAAAAATGATACAAGCGTTGAACGTACGGTTTCGAAACAAATTAACAAATCATTTTTTGCATATTATAAATGTGATACTTCTTTCAAAACTTTTTCTCGGAAATCACTGGCACATTTCGTCAAATCCGCCGCAAACGATGTGCAATTTAGCAATTTATTTTTATTTTTTGTAATACATTCCATCAAATCCTGAAAAGTTAAAATATAGTGCACGAATTGTAAAAAATTAAAAATCAATAACTGAAAGTCAAACAGCTACTAACTTTTAATAAATTCTAAACAAATTTTTCCAAAGCATGCATGAAAATAAAGCCAAAGGAAGCAAATGAATATAAATATTAGCTAGGCATTAATGGTTAATACTAAATAATTACTTACAGTCTCAATCACTTTGCAAACATTTTCCGGGTGGTACGAGAAGTACTGTTTTTCAATTCGTTCCAGTGTCTCATCAAATGCTTCCTTCCGTGCTTGCAATTCAGCTGTTGAGATTTTTCCTAACAATTAATGATTTCATGACTTTAAACATATTATAAATTCTGCAAGTTTCATTTTATTTTTCAATGGCTTTTCAGCACATGTAGAGAGAACGAAAAATTTATTATTGGTTATGAATATGACGCAGTATTGAAAAACAGTCTAAAAAAAAAAAAATTAAATTTAAAAGCACTGCTGATTATTCGATGCGATATGTCTTCGATTTTGAATTCAATTTTATGAATAAAGTTTCATCGCAATAGAACTTAGCTAAATGAGAACAAAAGGGAGAGGAAAATAAATAAATTCAAAATTAACCAGTTGTAGTTTTTTGCAAGGATAACTTCGATTCTGAAAGATTTCTTATTTGTTCATGTAGTTTAAGATTCACTTCTCGTTGCTCGGCCAACTGCTTCCTAAAGTACTGAAACTGTTAAGCACACATTTGAGAAAAAATATGCCAAAGTTCCACAAAAAAACTTTTTAAACAAAACTTGAAAGTAAAAAGTACCTCAAGTCGTTGACACTCTCTTTTTCCGAATTTCCCAAATTTAGAATCTGATCGACGACATCGTGTGATACTGCAACTGTTCTGTATTCTTCCGGTATATCACTTCGTTCGATTTTTACCACCTTAAATTAAGAACTTCTAGAAATGGTTAAGGCAAAATGAGAACTAAGTGGTGGTGTTCTTGTTGTAGCTTACGTTAAATTACTATAGGTTATTTGATAATACGAGTTTTGGATTTGCAAAATGCGAATCATAATGATCGTTGAACAGAAATTCCTAAGCCACATACTTGATAAAATGACCCTATTCCATGAAATTAGTAATAGAAATACGACGACTGGAAGCTGTTGAAAAACGATTCTCATCGGGATAAAAAAGAAAAAATACGATACCTTCGGAACATCATCGGAAGGACTGCTTTCGTCATAGCTCTGAACTGATCCCATAAGGTAACAAAGATTGTACTACAATATTGACATATATGTACATACAAGAAGTAAATCAAAAGTCATGCTCAAGCTTCCACTACATTTATCCTTATTCATTATTTTGTTTCACTAACCCTTTCATCACATACTTTCAAATTTCATCCGGTCTTTTCCTCTCTTCACAAACACGCTATTTTCCCTCTTAAATGATAGACATACTGAAGATGCGAAGGAATCATTGACATCATAGATATACATGTTCTTATTAGATTAAGAGAGAAAGATGAAACAAACCAGAGAAGACTCCCTGGAATCAACGAAAGTTCCTTCCCAGATATAAGACTATCCAATAAACTACGCAACATTATCGAAATAATGCAGTCTCTAATTTAACACATTGTGAAATTTCAAGTTTCAAAATTTAATTTAACTGTTAGCGATATGAAGGATATGATAATACCATGATATATGTATATATATTATTAACATTACCTAATTATAATAGAATTTTCTAAAATTCGTTTAATTTTTGCATCGTTTTTCCGTGTATCATTTTCTTGAAAAGATTAAATTAAAATATTCGGAATGAATCAATATTTGTCTGACTTTTCAAACTCACTGCAAGTTTCAATTTACAATCTTAAATTTTATCTTTCCAAATATGTAATTTATTCCTAATGATATGATTCAAATTAAACCAATTCTTGCTTCCATCCCAATTATTTCGTAAAGCTTTATCATAAAGCGCTGCATTATTTTTTCTTCGACCGCCACATGATATGATGCAACATCGATGGTTGTATGAGCGTTTTTCAAGCTTTGTCGCCTAGCGACCAAATCCTTTAGGCTTTCCAACCAAACCTTTAAGATTAAAAATTCTTCACTCTGTTCACATTTTGCTAGCTACAGCTAATGTGTCATGTGCATTTCGTGTTACAAATCTAATGCGGTTTTTTATCTTACTTTAGCAAACTATCTGCGCATCCATCTATTCGTTCTCAGAGGTTATTAAACCATTCGTTCCTAAATATATTTGCTGAACAAATCAACTTAACAGGACCAATCCCACTTTTTCTTTACATTATACATCTTACTGATCTGTTGAATTAATTAGCAAGAAACTATTCTTTGAAAATTTCGTTTATTTTAAAACGCTCAAGAATTGTTAACAATTTTTTTTACAATTCTGAAAAAGTTGACTGTTTTATTTTTAGGATGAATGTTTCAATATAAGCAGTGTGTTAAAGAATATTCTTCATGCTGCTGTATTATATAGTGTTATGTCTCGAGCTCAACGAATTTTGGAAGGATTCAAACTGTGCGTATTGTTGTAATGTTTCGATTGTAATAATTCGAGTCAAGCAAAATACTGTTTTATGTTTTTCTTTTCTGAAAGCACATGAGAAACAATATGAGTAACAATTCATTCCTGTAATTAACTTAAAGGTTTAATAATTGTTTTAATTAGGTATCAATTCATTTGAATTGAGAATAGGAAAAAACTATACTATCACGGTTATATATCTTAACAATAATACTGCTTGGTGATTAGGGACATTGGCATATGGTTTTTGTAGGAACTGGATGAGTTTACGTGACGCGGAAAGTGGGAAGGTGTTATGGCAAAATTATGAAGATCTTGCATCGCCAGGAAAAGAGCATCAGGGTTAGTTGATTAATTCTTAATCGCCTTTTATATGAAATGTTGTAAACGAATGATTTGATTTATGATCGTAGCGTGCCATCCTTAAGCTAAATGTTGGATTACACGGATCTATATTTGTCGCAGACTGTAAAAGGACAGTCATCGAAACGCTAACAGTCTTTAATGATTTTAAAAGCTATCCACTAAATTCCATCTAACATTTCATTATTTGTGTTTTTTTCTTATTCTTTGTCCTTTGTATTAATTCATTTAGTTCACTGTATGTTGGACAAAAACATAATGAACTTTTTCTACGTGGACATGTATATTATCTGATTTGTTGTGCCACGTACCAGTTTAAATATGAAGTAACTGGATTCAAATGTTTTAGTGTTTTTTATGCTATCATTATTCAGCTTCTTCGACAATGATATATTTCAGCTCGTATACCAAAAAGTATCTTGAAGTGTCGTGCAGTATCACGTGAAATAAATTTTACTTCGGCTGAAAAAATAAATAAATTTCGATTAGAACAACGTGTTTACTTGAAAAGTGAAATTATTGAAGGTATTTATATTGGTTTATCAGAAAAACGTTTTAAGACTATGAATAAAAATTCTGAATTCCCATGTTATCGGTTGCTTTGTTGTATGAGTAAAGGGGAACCAGAAACCATCTTCCAGATTTAACATTATTCACAATTTCACTCTCACTTTGTTAATTAATCTTTGCTAGAATTAATAAGTCGACTTTTTCCTCGTTATCTTCCTTTATTTCATTTTATCTAAAAGAGTTATAGAATGGTTCTTCGAATTTGGATTTGTGATACCACAATCAACTAATACATGGCAGAATTTGATCGAAGCTGCGCCTGAGGCACAAATGCTGCCTGCATCATTGTTAAGGTAAGTGCACGTTTTCTATTATGATCTTGACTTATTTCTTCTGGATATAGGTTCAAAAATCCATAAGGAATGATTTCCCTTATTTTGCTTATATATTAAGTTGTTGAAAATTAATTTATCGAGTAAAATAAATCTTTTAACGGCAGCAGCTTTTTATGATGGCGTATAATTTGTGCAGTAGCATCTCGTGCGGACATTCTTTATGTTTCGCTTCTTGCATTTTGTTGCTAACTTGCTTTAAGACTGAATAAAATTTGATTGAAATTCTATCATCGATTCTTGAAATCTGGTGGTAGAGCAATTGCAGTGGCAATGTGGTAATCAAGACGAGCTTTTACGATGATGATTTGTTAGTGAGCACATCGAATATCCGTATCTTTTACGTGTGATGTGAAAGATGGAAAATCAGCTTATTTTGCTTTTGCGCAAACTACTTTATATTCGCTACGAGAATGGTTGTGATAAACTTTGTAGTATGTGATGTAAAGAATGTGATCAGTATAGTAATCGTGGAGCTTATCAGTACTGTGTAATAAAAAATGGACGTTTTAGAACATGAAGCTACACTATAATATGCAAGCTGTGTATTCGTCAATTTCTCGTGAGAAAATACAAAATTTTCGCCGACTTTTTAAATCAATGATTTTAATACTTGAAGTTGCAGCCAAGTTTGGTTTGCTGGAAATTCTAACGATTGTTAGAAATTAGCAGCTTTGGTTGCTAATTTCTATGAGGAATTGAGAAAGATATTGGGAGTAGGTCTTGAATTTTATCCACACTACTAATGAAGTTTTACATGGTAAGGATGATAATAGTTATTATAATCGATTTCTTCCTCATTCATGTCCGTCTATAGAATTGTTTCCCAGTGCCTCGATATTATCACGGTATCTTCGTACCATCAAGATTGATAAGATTGATATCCCAGCAGTAAAGGAGGTAGTTAGCGAATTCACCAGAGTTTTAAGTTAAGTGGTCAAATTTTGAATTATTTATAACTTAACTTTTTTGTCGCAGTCTGATGCATAAATGATATCAAAGATGATATAAATGATATTAAGAGTGATATGCAAGGTGATGGTTATCAATGAGGCCTCATAAAATAGATTTTTCAAGCCAGTCTTTCTAATTACGTGAGAGTAGGCCATTTCACTATGTTTTCTAACGGATTTACATTATTTTAATATTTCCTTGCCTCATCGATCGAATTGTTTACCTGCTGAAGAAGTCCTCATATTTGTCGTTTGGTCTTTAATTTCATTTCTTTTTTTTAAACGAAGATGGTAAAATAAGAGCAAAAATTAATAGAGGCAATGGCTTTGGTTTGTGATATTACAAAATCATAGCTTCAGGTGACATTCTTATGGCTGAAATAGCCAAATATATGATTTCATTGAATTATATAAGTCTTAAATTTCGAATAATAAGCGAAAAAAAAGATTTAGAATAGAAGTTTTTCAAAATTCGAACAAATCATTTCCAAATGTTATTTATTTGCAAGTTACTGCCGTAAATTATAAATGATGAAGTATTGTGTTCAGTTTCTCAGTGGATGAATTAAACATAAGTAAATTAAATTTATATAAAAACGGATTCAAGTGAATTGTTCAAATTTCTTCATTCAATCTTAATGCTTTAAAAAGGTGTAGAAATAATAATAAATTGTCTGACGGATATAGGCATAGAGTTGCTAAAATTTGACATCAAATATTGCCTAAAAAAATTCAATCTAGGTGAATAATGAAGGAAATAAATAATCCAAATTGGTTAAAATTTACACTTTTTCTTGACATGTTTAGGTCATTCTATCCCAATATACTCCTGACCTTAAAGCTTTCAACAATATATTCATTCCTTTGTCTCAACAATAGCAATAAAACATTCCTTCTAAAAGGGCTTGATAAGATGCAATATTATCAAATGCAAGATAATATTAACCAATTAAACTTAAATACACTACTTGACAATCTTCAAGCTGATAATTTCAATTTTTTCATTACCACTGCTAACATCTCGAGGAGATAATTTCAGATTGTTTTACACAATACACTTAGTTGCATTATGATCATTTGTGATCTTATAAAAATTGCTGTATAATTTGAATAAAATTAAGTTCGCTCAGTATAATAGTATAATAGAATTTCACTGTTATCAAGTTGCCACTGATTAACTTACTAGATATTTTCTAATTTTTAAAGCTAACATTTATATATATATATATACATATGAGTGATATAATGTTACCATAGATGAAATTCGATGCAAAAAATGGACGTAAGAAAAAAAATAAACGAAGAAAGATTTGTAAATTAAAGTGCCAGTTATAATAATAATCTGTATCAAAATAATTAATAATAAAATAAATTAGTTTAAGCAGTAATACTATTTTCTACTAATTATAAGACACTTTAAAATTATGTACTCTTCTTGATGAAAAACTCATTTTATATGAATTAATTTATAAAGATAAATAACAATTAAAAAATAAAATTTTTACTTGTCAAATAAATTATAACTAAAATTATTTCATCAACAGTTGGTAAAATTATTACAAATTTCATTCGTAACATTTACATCTCTCTCTCTCTCTTTTTTAGATTATTTATTTCAAAATTTATTCCTAAAAATTTGTTAGAAATGAGCAGGATGTTGATGATACTATATTGAATGGAAATGAAAATAGTATATGAAGAAGATACAGTGTAGTATTGTTGTGAAAATATTTGTGAGGAATAAAGAGAAAGAAAGGAAATAATTCGGTTGCATGGAAATAAATGATGCATGTTTTGAAAATTATTTCATGAAATACATTTATGCCACTGCATGATACATTTGCAATGGAATTAGGAACGCGAAAGAAGGAACTGAAATGAGACTGTAACTTTATAAAATATTGTTTTATGTGAATAAATTATTTTTAATAATTAGCCGATTGTATATGACAAACAAACATGCTCCTCATTAAAGTAAAACAATAAATTAAATCATATGTATTACATATTAAATTTAAAATTCAAAATGAAATTTTAGATTAAAATAATGATTAATATTTTAAAATGAAATGCATTTAATTGAAATTTTTAAAATAATAACTTTCATTAAATTTTGAAAAAATTTTTATAATAAAGTAGGAAAGAAAAATTAGAGTACTATATGAAATATCTTTGTTAAACAACTAATAATAGTACCATATTTTATGTCTTTCAGGTATCATTTTTACCTTTAAATTGAGCATGAGTTATGTCAATCAGCTGATAAAAATGAAATGTAAAGTATAAAAAGGGCCGCCCCATACATTTCTCACTTCTTCATTTCGCTAACCTGTTTTCCAAACGATGAACATTAATTCTTTGTCGATCCATTAAAATTAAACAGACGTTACTGCCAAAATTGATCTTTTTACCTTTTCTTCCTATCTTTTTTATCATTCATCGATTATTGTTACAATTTTTTTTTGTAGTGATAACAAAATTTCATATAAATTTCAATAGATATTTATTAAAATGAAAAAAATTTTTAAATTAATTTAGAAATTCAAGGAAAGTCAAAGTGTACTACGGCTGGTTTCAATTGTGTTGCATAAAAAATTCAACTATATTGGCGCTTTTTTTTCAACATTTTCTAAAATATTATTAATTTTTAAAAGATAAAGAAATGAATCATTTCCTTATGTCTAATTTTTATTAATCATTTATGAATCACTTTTGGATAAATTCCTTACTTTACTAAATTATAATTATAATATGTTTCACATTTATTACTCATCAAATGTTTAAGTATCAATTCAATTATCAAATATTATCTTCATTCTCGAATGAATTTATAATCGTTATTAATCATTTGCATTTATTGCTTAACTTTAGCATGTCAAAGAATTTTTTGTTCCGAAATTAAAAGCACTCAATCATATTGTCCATGGAATTAACAACGCTCGAGCAAAAGAGAAGAAGAAATATGAATTTATCAAATTTAAAATTTGATTTCTGGAGTTCCACGGTTTGTTTTATATTTTGTTAATAGCCACATACTGCTATTAATTTAGCTTTCCTAATTTTATTTCTTTAAATTTTGTCCTAAAATTTAATCATTGAAGTTATTAATAACTTTAAATGAGAACATTGTACAGAAAGTTTAAATTATATTAATTACAAATTTTTTAAGAGATTTTTTTTTGTTGTTTGTTTGACATAAAAACGATGTATTAAAACAAGGAAAAGAAAAACGTAATTATTAAATGCAAGTTAGGAATTTAATTGAAAAATTGAACTTTTAGAATGTTTCCGTGAAATTTTATCCAAACATCATTAAATTCGAAAAGAGCAAGACTTGTTTATCAATTACTATATAGTTTCCGGCTTCATCTACATGCTGCGACATTGCCAATACTGAAACAAAACTGGTTTACTTGCTGTAAACATTAAAATCACCTCAAGGGGTTGTAAAACAATCTTTAAGTTTATTTTTTGATAATTTTAATTGCAAAAAAAAATTTTAACTTGCAAAAAAAAATAAATGATAATATAATTATTTGCATCAGTTTGTCCGCTGTTTTTTGGAGGTATTATTATTTTGTTTGCTTCGTTTGTTTATTAAATTATTAAACGATTCACTTCTGAATCGAATTATATAACATTTTCCGTTAATTCATTAAATGACTAAGCAATTTAAAGGTAACTTATTTTGAATAGATTTATCAGCGCAAAACAAATCAACGCTATTTATTATTTTAAAATTTATTTTCAAAAACCAAATATGTATTATATAGAAATTGAAATACTGAATGTTTATCAAATGTGGACTATCCAACTTATTCTTATAAAGTTTATTTTCCAATTCCATTTTAAAAAAGAAAGCTAATAATGTTGAATAAATTTAGCAAAAATTTGTATTTCAAGAAAGAAATTTATTTTCAGGTTTTACGGGTGATGGCACCTCAAATGCTTATTATCATATTACTCATTGCATATGTTTTATTCGGCTCAGCGATGTTTGTCGTTTTAGATGAAAGTTTAGCCAAGGAAAATTTTACAGATATTATTCTATTCTCATTTACTACAATTGCTACAATAGGTTTCTTAACTTTGTTATAGCATTTGATTGTCTCTAAACCTCAATCTCGAATTTTAATGTTGAAGGGTGCAACTGGTCATCTTGCAACTGGAAGAATAGCATGCATTATCTGAAAAGTATATTAACCTATATCGATTTAAACTTATTACAGGTTATGGCAATATCACTCCATCAACACCATGGGCACAATTATTCTGCATAGTTTTTTCAATATTTGGCATTCCGATGACTTTGCTAACACTAGCGAATCTTGGAAAATATTTAACGAAAAGTTATTGGATGGCACTAGTTTGCCTTGGTAAGGTCAGTTGTTTTTTTTAATTCTGATATCATTGCTAATTTAAAAATAAAATGTATGTGAAAAGAGGAAAACAAATTTAACTAGACTAGGCTACAATTGTTTTCAATTTCTAAATATTCAAGTTAAGTTTGAACTATAAAACAAGTGCATAATGTTGTAATTAAGCTAACAATAAAAGTCTAACTGATATCTATACATTTCACGCTATCCTAATTGATACCGGTACGTGACACACTGTCCTAATTGATACTTGTGCGCGACACACTATCCTAATTGATACCTTCGTGTAAAATATCAATTTTGAACTTTTTTTTAAGGAAATGCGCTGGCGACCATGTGAAAACGCGAAGATGCCATTACCAACGATTATCATTTTATTTCTAATAACATTTGCATTTGGTTCAATATTATTCTATCAGAAAGGAAGAGGCTTTTCGGTGGATGATGTATATTTCAGGTAAATATTAATTAGATTCAAATATATAGATCACTCTACCATACATTTTATCATTCCTGTTCACTTGAATAATTTAACAAAATATAATATTGGAAATGTTTAGTATCATCAGTTTTGCTACTGTTGGATTTGGTGATAAATTTCCAACAGCGGATGATCCGTTACGTTTAATTGCTATGGTTTGTTATTTGGTATGGGGAATGATCCTAATGACAACAACATTTTCTATCGTAAGTAGCTATTTGAGAACGGTACGTCATTATTTTTATATATCTTCTTCATTTTTTTACTTAAGAATCGAAAAAAAAATTAATGAAACAATTAATGAAATTAAACAAGCTATTGATTATTTTAATTAATCACCACTTATCATTCGTACCTTCTTTTTATTAATTCAACAATAATAATAAAAACAATAAAATAATAATGACAGTAATAATAATGATAACAAAAATAGTATCCTTTTTTTGACTTCCTTGGAATAAAAAAACATTTAGCTATTTTGATATAGAAATGGCATCATTGTCGTTTGATATATATCATATTGAGTAATCCTTGTTAAAAATACTAAAAATTTGAGTGAAAATTTAAATTGCAGATTCATTACTTGGGGCGAAAGTTACGTGGAGCACGTGACGTACACGTTTGGTTTGGCGGTAGAAGTATGAAAGTATCAAAATTACTTGAAATTGTTGCTACTGAATTAAATGTAAGTCAACGAGATGTTTTCTTCGTTGAAATTATAGATTTTTGCATTTCGACACGAATGCTTCTCAGTATCCAAATATGACTTTAGAAAATATAGGAATTAGATGAAAAATTAATAATCTTAACTCTAGCAAATGCTAACTTCAGGCAAGTAAAAATTTCAAAGGATTGAACCACTGATTGAACAAATGATCGATGGATATGCTGTTGTACGCTGTCGAAAACAATTTTTTCAAGTATTTCATTTCATTCAAAACTATAATTACTATGATCAATCTACAGGCATCACCTCGACAGCTAAAGAGTGTACTGAGAGATCTCGATAATCTGATATCAACAGCTGCTGAGGAAAATCAATTATTATCAAGGCGATCATCCTTCTTACTCAAAGGTCGCTGCTCCATGAAAAAGCGCATCGGTTATTCGTTGCAGGTATTACTTTCCCTGTGCATCTCCGTGTTTAGTCCAACTGGAAAATTCTTTCAAATGATCACTTTTCTTCCCTCATAAAAATTTTACAGGGTATTAATGAACGTAAACCTCGTTACGATCATCTAAAAATTTGGTGAGTTCCTACTCAAAGCTTCTTCCCATTTGCATATTTTTTTTCTATAAATAATGTTTGAAATATTATTAGGTCGTTTGATACAGTAAAAGAAGAAGGAACATTACTCCATGAAAAATTCATCAAAGAACGACGAAAAATTGATAGGCATCACTCGATCGATTTAGGTGAATTAAATAGGCGAATTGTTGCAAAATTTGAAGTCTAAAGAAAAAGTAAACAAATGCAAAATTACTGCTTTTTTTACATGATTGAATCTTCTAGATGAACGCATAGCATATAAAGAAAAAATACTTCGGATTTACAAATTAAAGGTACAAATTGTTAGGCATGATAAGTATAGTAAGTAGAGAACTACAGGCATTATCTCGTGCTATATTATATGAGGATTTCTTTCCAAACACCGACTTTCCACATATTATGTATAACTAAGTTACTACAAATTAAGTCTAAAATTATTTTAAACTGGCAAACAATACTTTCACAAATCAGCAACATCGGAAAATCCTTGCTTACAAATCATTTGCAAATGTGATTTTTGCATATCTGATTTTATATAGAAATATGTGCCTTTTCAAATTTCTTCCTTAAACTCTGCCCATACGTTTAATTACTGAGTTCAAAAAAATTTTTAGCTTCTATGTAATAGATTTTCATATACAACATTGACGCCCAAAAGAGTATGACCTATAAGAGTTAGGATCATACAGGGTAAAGAAGAAATAAAGTTCATTTATTAAAATTCGACAAGATGAGTTATTTCACACTCAACTATGAACTATGTTATAGAATTTATTGCTACATTTAAGGATACGATGAACTGACCACATCCATTTTATTTCATATTTCATTTTGTCACTAGCTCTTAACATCTGGGGTTTGAAGTACGGTGGAAAAAGCAGTAGGAAAACATTAATAGCTAAAGTTCATAGCATACTACCGCATATCCAAAACTATTTCGGAAAAACGAACTTTTATTTTAACGATTTAATATAAGTTCAAAAAATGAATGATACAAATGCATACTAGCTTCATTTTTTTCTAATTCTATTAATCTTAACTTTCGTTGAAGTCGCAGCAGGAAGTGTTTTTGGTGTTTCGTGCCCGGATTCCCTTAAATGAACAAATAATTTTGTCCGAGATTCAAAAAATTTACCACAGCAATCACATGTACTTTTTTTTGGATTTGTATCTTCCGTTGCATTACTTTTAGCAATTCCTGCTCTTTCTTTGCGCCTTCGAGCTGAAACTTTTTTCATTATTACTCTCCAAACAGTTGTCACTATGAAAACATATAATTTGCAATTTTAACTGGAAATTTGAAACCAAAAATTTTATGAATATCATCCAAAGTCACTCAGCTCTTTGCTTTACCAATGAAGATGAGAATTTCTCAAATAATTTCATCCGTCACAATGTACTGCTTAATTTATTTACACAACAAGGTTTACTGATCATCAATTTTATATTATGAAAAAATAAGCTGTGGAGAAAAAGAACAACGGTTTCATCTTTCTAAGGTAATAATAATGAATCATTTAAATGCCAAATCACATATATCATTCGTGAGGCAACAGAATGCAAAAATATATGAAATGAGAACCTTTATTATCAAGTCGCGACACTTTTGAAGCTTCCCCGGACACTTTCAAGAATATATTTGTCTCATCAGAGTTCGTAATACATTCCTCTCCATGCCCCTCAGTACCATTTTTAGAGAATATTTCATTCGTTTCATTATCCGATGTGCCTGGTTTACTTCTCAAATCGTGTTAATCATAAGAAAATTGCAAATAAAAAGCAGAGTGAAAGAAAAATAGCATTAAAGTGAACTAACGGAAAAACTGTAAGTGAAAAAAGCGTTGTTACACTCACTCATCATCATCGTCGGCTTTATCCGAATCATATTCAACTTTTCTCCGTCCCCTCTGTTTTTGCTTTTTTGATTTCTTTTTACCTGTCTCGGTTTCCTCATTCTCCGTGTCTTTTTCATCAGTTATTAACAAGCAGACATCATCCTCCTTCAAAGTATGTATTTAAACTTCGACAAATAAGTATTTAAACTCCATTATTCTATCTCGAAAAAACTTTATGCAAAATCAATTTTAATTTGATAAATAACACTAAATAGTAGGGACCCTTTGTATAAAATAATAATTTCATCTCAAAAACTACAGGCATTTCATACAAAACTGTATCAAACATGCAAGTAATTCAATCAAATGCGATTACCTTTATATGCTTTTTTAACAAGGCAACTGTATCCTTATGTTTTTTAGATCTTTTGTGGTTGCTCATTGCCTTTCTATAATGGAGACACATAAATTATCATGAAAAGATTATGCAGAAATCACTTCTAGAGGAAAGAAAAGTGCATGAAAACAAAAAAAAAAAAAGAAAAGTGCATTAATGGTCACTTACTCAGTTTTGAATGCTTTTTCACAAAACACACAATAAAAGTGCAATTCTTCGTGGAATTCTGCTTCACTTTCGCCATTACTTCCTCCGAATTCGGCATCCAAAGCTTCCTCAATTTCACGTAGATTCTCCAGCTGCGATTGTCGCACCTCTTCCGATTCCTTGTATTCACCAGTCTGACTTGAAAATAAAAGCAGATAAATAATGAAGAAAAATATAGTCAATGAAGTGTCCTTTTCAACAACTTCAAAATATGAACATAATCGAGGCATTTTGAATGTTAATATTTTTTTCATATTGAACATTGTCGTATTCATCTTCAGAATTTTTAAAGAACTTCAGAATTTTTAACCGAACTCCTAAAATCACCTTAACTGTTCTAAAATCTTCAGTTTTCTATTTTCCTCCGTCTTTCTTTCTTGCTCCAACCGCTTCTCCTTTAATTCTTTCTTGTGTGCATGAACCCGTGGATCTCGCTTTCGTATGAATGCAACCAAAGCCTTAAATTTGTATAAATATCTTAATAAAAGAGAAGCCTAACGTATAAAAATTTGCCCTATTATCCATGGGTGAAAAGGGCAACTCCTGATGTTCTAAAACACTAGAGATTAAATGAAATGAGAACTAATTCCAGTATTTCTGCTTTAAGTTTGCATGAGATTGCTAAAATATTTCAAAAACATATAAAGATAACCCGAATTTCTTCGTTTCTTTCCCGTTTGCTCGCTTCTCTCAATTTCTTGTTTTCTTTCTCTATTGCCCTAGCAACACGATGATTTGTAGCATCACGTATATCAAATTTATCTACCCATGCAAATGATCGGACAGTACAGAAACTTCCCCAGAATGCGTAAAACAAGCCAACTACCTATAAAAGAACATAATTCAATGAAAGATGGATTTTCAATCTTTAGGAGCATCTAAAAAGGAACGATATCCGAAGCTATTTATGACTCCATAAGTTTACTAACATTAAAAATGAATAATACTGTAAAACTATAGTTAGAAAAATATAAAACACCGTAATTGGACATACATCGTCATAGGTGCTGTTCTCATCACCGAAGCTTGGATATGGCTGAGGTTTTCTGTCCAAGAATTCATAATCTTCGGACGCTAAGGTTTCGAAGACTTGTCTATATACAGCATAAAAATTCTGCAACATTTTAAGTCAAAGGCATTAAATCTTATTTATTTTACAATAGACTTCATTCCCAAAAATTTTTTAAATATCAGAAAAATACTTTAATCTTTACAAGTGGAATCTTTAGAATATTTCCCGGAAAATGAAGTCATAAAATGGAATAAATACTATGTTCCCACTCGTACTGTTTTATTGTTATATTTATCTGTTGTAAAATTATGAATGGAGAGTATTGCAAAAGAAATGCATAGTCCGCTTTCAGAAGAGAGTTTACCTTATCATTGGTATCAAAACCGGAATAGCACGTTGATGTAAAATAAGGGAATAAATTAAGACTATTGTCTTTATAATACTCGCCAATACCTAAACAATAACAACTAATGCTTATTTAAAGCATAAATTTTCATTTATATATAAAAATATTTTAAGTAAACTAAAATTGTGATCCAGCCAGAAATTTAAATTGTTCATTTTGCAATTATTCTTTAAAAGAATAGTGCATAATGTAAAGTTATTCTGTTTCCGCAGTAGTTCTACCAAAAAACAAAAAATTTTCAGAAAAGAATTATATTATATTATATGAGATTGATTTAACAACCAAATTCACACTAACCTCCTTTTAAAATGCTTTCTCTATGTCGATCATACCAAGCTCTTTCATGTGGATCACTTAAAATGTCGTACGCTTGCTGTATTAGCGCAAAGTACCTTAAAAAAATCTTTTCTCATAGATTAAAAGGAAATATTATCAAAATTGCAAGCACTTTAAAGCAGAATGACCCTCTTGAATTTATAAAAATAACTCTTATATCAAGGAATACCATTATTGTTTCGTCAGTTTTGTATTACTGAAGCTTGGAATTTAAATCTGGAACTTTACCTAGTACATTCTTCCACACTGTTTGGATTTTTATCAGGATGCCATTTAAGAGCCAACTTTCGATAGGACTTTTTGATCGTATCATCATCGGCATCACAATCAATCTCCAATACATCATAATGACACCGCATTTCTCACATACTGTTCTAGAATATACAACGACAGACATTTTATTTCAAAATCTGAAAACACTTTATAGCGTTTGTGTCGAAATAGTGTTCGCTAAATAAGTGTTTCATGAATCGCAGATAGCAATTAGCTTGAAATTTATCATAAAATAAACGACACTAAATATTACTTTTCGATAAAATTTATAAGGTGTGCAAATACATAAATCGAAATGGCAAGCATAAATGAGGTATAAATTACTTCATAAATCTACTTGCTCTTTCATATATATCAGATATTTTCAAGCAATACACACCTTCTGACTTTAGAACTGATTCCATTAATGAATGCGGAGACAAAATATCAAAAAGCATATAGCCGAACATTAATTAACAACCTTATGGCAATGCTTTCTGTGATAATATTAAAAAAATCAGCAATCAAAAAAGACTCCGAGATAAAAGGACTTATCGAAAGTTTAATCCCTGCCTAAAAGGTGTGCATAAATAGACTAAGATAAAATGAAAGCGTAGAACATAATAATCTACCAACATTAAGAAACTTGAACGATACGACGACATTGAGGAGCTAATGAATCAGTATAGTAATATTGTCACATTTATATGCATATATATTACAAATGCAAGAAATTAATGTGATATACTATATTGATATACCAGGTAAGTAACTATTTATATAAAAAGAAAAAATTATATTAAAGCAAAATTACAATGGAAAACTCATGAAATACAAACATTTTAAAATACAAAGTAATCTACTGAAAACACATGAACTAAATAAATATAAGATGCCCAAAAAACGCTCTAGTTTTTCAAACTAATGAGATATGCGCCTTACGATACTCACGATCAATGATTCAATGAATATCAGTGACAATGGAAAACAAAACATCAATGAAAACTCAAATGAATTTAAAGAGTATGATCACTCCTATTAAATAAAAGGACTGATTCATACCGATCAATAATGAATACATTATTATCAATATTTCGGGCTGTACTAATGCTTCATCGTGCCAATTTATATGTGGATTGAACAACTCGAACGCAAGTAGCTTCTCGGAGAACAGAATTTCATCAATTTTAATACATTAAATTGTTAATATTCATTAATGATCGATATAAAACAATCCTCCGGCTTTTCAATTTTTTACCACGTTAAAAATTCAATCAATTTTTAACGTGGTAAGAAATTGAAAAGAAAAAAAGAAAAAAAAAGAAGAAAAAAACAAAAATTCATTAAGTTTGCTAAGCAGAAAAAACTGAATTCGTCTACCACATAATCCTCTAGTAAATGACATTTCAAAAAATTATCGCAAATTGTTAGGCCACTCGGGTACATAATATCGTCTAATAGAACCTTCTACCAAACGATCCAACCAATTCGAAAGAGCATCTAACACGTTTTCCAATTTTATATGTTGCCTTTTCCGCAAAGTCTGCATCTATAACCAATAATTTAGCCTATACATTCTGAGAATAGCGCATTCACACTTCAACTAAAAAATATTTGAATTATAAATAAAATATTCTGCATTACAACATCAACTTTATTCTAACCTCTTCTCGAGATGCTTTATCAACGTCGGAATCTTCACTGCTAAAATCTTTACCATCATCATCGAAACCCAGAAAATGTTTTTTCCCAGGTGGTGTGTGCATCGGGTGATACATGTTAAAATATAATTTCCAACCACACAACACAAGCACAGTTCCTAGGGTTTTTCGAGGATTTATATTTTTCAAGCGTTCATACATTGATGATCCATCTGCAAAAATATTTAACAGTCTCGGTTTGAGAAATTTAATAACAGGATTGCTGTGATTCATGTTCTGATTTTTAATTGCGTGATTTCGCATGATTCCTGTAATTCCACTTCTTTAGGAGAAGAGAAAATTCGCTATCCTCTTGAGACTTCAATAAGAGCAAATACATGACATGAAACTATAAGTGGTGATAGTCTTTCTTATAAACTTCGATGTTTAAAAGATGAAAAATTTCACCTGCGTTACAAAATAAAACAAGCAGTGCGATTTACTGGAAACCACAAGAAACTTCCAAACCTTCATTTCGTCCACTTTCAGCTGGTAATGTATGCTCCAAAAGCTTGCGGAACCAAGGAAGATTTTTTTCCACCATTAAATAGCCAAATGAGAATGTTTTGTTACTAAAAAGTTACACTATGTTACTCAAGTTATTTACGAAATTAACAGAATACTAATGAATGGACATAACAGAAGCATCGCAAATACTGTGCATAACAAAGTTTTACTTTCTAAATGGCCAAACATGCTTGGCAAACTGTGGTAGTAAAATATCCTTTGACTGTTCATCAACAAGAACGACGATCGATCGGCATCCAGGCTTCAAGAGTCTGATCATTCCAAAATATGTTTCTGCTCTCAATTCATGCATCATTGGTTCCATTTCGCGCATTATTCTAGAAAAAGACTGACTTTGAGCTATCCTGAAGAATTTTAAACAAGAATAAAATTCAATTGGCTTTAGTGAGAATAAGCTGACCAATTTACCTTTGCTGTTTTCTGAGCATTCGCGATCGATTATTGTTAATTCCGGGCCCGACACGGGGATCTTCAGGATGCCACTGGTCATCATCATCATCAACATTTCGTTTAACATCCTTCTTTATTTCCTGAAATATAAAACAAAATTGATCAATTTTGTTCAAAAAGGACCAAATAAACGAATTAAGCAAAAATTTTTTCTTGAGCTTCCATTGCTTTTGGAAAGTTAAATGACTGCAGTATTTTTTATAAGTTCCACATTATGATCGAGTAAGAATAATCAACAAACCTGCGAAACATAATTGCGAGATTTTTCTTCCAGTGAGCTTGCATAACTCAATCCATAACCGATAAAAAATATGATCAGCAATGTTCCTATAGCACTCAACAACGGCAAAGCTTCTTCCTTAGTAAGATTAAACCATGTAGCTTCAAACATCCGTACAGCAGTGCGCGAAATGCGAGAAAACCATGATGGCCGATATTCATCTAACTGTAACAAAAGAAAGCAAAACTGACAAATTTAACGATATTTCAGTAGATTTTCGAGCGCAAAGAAATTTGGTTCAAATAGATTTTATAGCGTAGGCACGAAACAGTAAATACTTTGTTCAGACGTATTGCAGTGAATATGGAACAAAATAAACTAATATTCAAACGACTGCTCAAGAATAATCCCTGATACTTTATTCATAAACGAAAAAAAAAACAAATACTATTGGCTTAAGAGCTGTTTGATAATCTAATTTCGCGACTCCTTTGATATAACGCTCCAGTTCCAACTGAAGATCACTTTCATTAATGCTTTCTTTTATTAACCAAGCAAAACGAACTTTCTTCTGATCATAACGCCAAAGAATCAGCAAACCACGTCCACTTTCCTATAAAAATTTTTGTTTTTTTTCGAAATAGTGACGATTTCATTTTTACACAAAATATACAGTCTTCAAAGAGACTAGACAACTATTCATCAGGAGTTAATTTACTTATTTCCTCTGTTTTTAATAGATGATAAACTGTAGCATCATTTTTTGCAAATCACCTAAATTGATAAGTAATGTCAACAGATAAGACGGAGGTTTGCATATCTTCTCATATTAATACTACCACGAAGTAACTAACCTGCAAGGAGGATCGTTCTCTTGGTGATAATCGATCGAAGAAAGTCATAACAAATTCTTTTTGTTTGCTGACATAAACATATGCAAACTGTAGTCTTTCATTCTTGAAATTACCTCCTCGATTGCGAACGAAGTTGCGAAAAGATGCAATCTGCGACAGATCGCTGGATGAATCCGTTGCCATAAGAATAACGCAGAGGCTTCGCAAGGCTCGTGATGAAACCGGACAAAGGTCATCGAAATAAGACTGACTCGAAAGCTGCAAATATTCTTGTAAATGGCAAAAACAAAATATTTTTATATCGATACATGCAGAGCACTTCACCGTAAATCTGAAATCCTGCTTGCATGCAGTCTTGTATTTATTTAAAAAATGATTGTAATACAGAAAAAAGATTTCTAGGTTAAATCCTCACCCTTGGTAAAGTAAGATGTTTATTATGTTCAATAAATTCTCCTATAGCATCGACATGAAATTGTTGACCATTACTAACTGAAAGACGAGCAATCGGTCCTTCCTGCAATAATATGGTACTGTTTTATTCATAACTCATATTCAAGTTTCTTTTAGTGAAATTTTAGTGAACAAAGAGATTTCCACAAATTCCAACTTACTTGGGGGAAATCGTTAAAAATCAGAATATTTTCACAGTTGAAACATGTAATATCTAAAGCTTGTCGCATTTTTACAATTTCAGTACTCTGATCACTCAGGTAAACATAAGCAAATCGTGTAAAAGTTGAGTATTTCATTGCAGTAAGCATGTAGCGAATTCGAGGATTTTCTTTACTTCCAAAGATTACAACAGAAATCTGCAAAAGTAAAAATAGTTTTCAAAAGATATCAAGTAAGAAAAAAACTGTGAGAATCAAAAAGTTCGAGTTTTAGATTTTAGCGAGTGAATCTTCTACTGAGTACTCTGTCCATCGCCGAAAAACAAAAAAAAATCACGGTCCAGAAACAAGTATCATAGCACGCCACTCAGAATGTTAAGCTGAATATTCCTTATCAAAAAGTGCTCGATGCTTCGCTTCAAAATCATAATTAAAAGAAATGAACAGAAAGAGTATACCCTATTCGAACTTTGCCACTGATCAATAAAACGTCGCAAGCCATCATGGTTTGTGATTTTACATAAGAAAGTATTTGGGATTACATCACGCGCAAAAACGCGAACGGCTTTGGCAGAAAGTGCTGTAAATGTGATCGTTAATGCTATTCGTAATGAGACTTTACAGTGTAAATATAACAAGAAAACAAAGCAGAATATAATATTGTACGTTGCATTGAGCCTCGATAATGAATAACCCGTCCTTCAACGATCACAACAATAGATGGTAGCCGCGAGATTCGTATTTTTTCCAACAAATTACCGTCGGTGATTGCATTAACTGTACCAATGCCATAGCCTGCAACATTTATTTTATACAAATCAAATTCTTTGGTCTCGAAACGAGAAAAGTTGTTCCCTTTGAGCATCATAGGTGGTACATATTATTACTCTCTATAAATCAGTAAAAAAGCCTGTGAAGTGCAACGACCAGATAAATCTGAAGTAAGCAGTGGAGAAAAAAGTCTAAAAAAAAGACTATTTGTGAAGAATGAATAGAAACCTCACCAAGTGGTTCAAGATCGTTTACTACACTTTGCCAAATAGGTTCCAAATGGAAGCAAAGCTGACAATAACCGGAATACGCAAATATTATGATTGGTTGAAAATAGCTGCGTTCCAATAATGTATGAGAAAATAACCGCATGGAGATACGGTGCTTTTGGAAAAAAGAGTTGCCATTATCGAAACCACCAAAACCGAAACCAAACTGAAACAAAATTGAATGACTGGATATTCAATAAACAATAATTTAATCAAGTAGGCGAAAAATACTGTTAATTATTCCCAGTATGCGATTTTCTTTATGAACATTAAGTCACTCCATTTTATATCAGGAATTTTCCGAATTGTAAGACTCAGCTATTACCGGTTCAAATTTGAAATGAAAAAATTATTGCTTTGGACTGATTCCTGATTTAAATGAAATGAATGAAGTGACTCTTGAACAATCAACAAACTCACAACTGCGAATGATAAGATAATACAGTTATTTAAAAATCAACAAACCATTTACCAAGTCATCAAACGGATGATGTGTGTATGAATGACTAGAAGGTGGGTCGTCGAATGAACCAAATTTATCGTAGCGTTCCTTTTTCAATGGATCTGACAGAACCTGAAAAATCAAACGTAAATTTCAAACGTAAAACTGAACAAACAAATGCCTGCGACACATATGCTCCTAATTACGTGTTTTTGTAAGCATTCAGGATCTTTCTTCTTCAAAGTAACAACTAAAATGAATAACGAATTTAAACCTCGTAAGCACGTGTGATAGCCATGAATTTCTCATGTGAATTCGGTTTCTCGTTCTTGTCTGGATGCCTGAAACCATTCAAAACAAATGCACAATTGTATACATGCATAAACCTTACCAAGTATTATCCATAGGAATCTTTCATCAGGCTTAAAAAGGAAAAACTAACCATTCTTTAGCTAGTGCTTTATAAGCATGCTTGATTTCCTTGATGGTGGCTTTGCGCGAAATACCCAAAACTTGATACGGATCTTCAATTTCTGTTGAAATGACTCCATCTACGTAATAGAAAGACAGCATCAAGGAAAACAATAAATACTTCATATCAGCTGATTTTTGCCGCTCATTCATAAAGAGCAAAATAGATCTTCCCGTTGAATTCTATGAATTCTGTAAATCTGTCTTAAATTTGAAGAAACAAAATTCACTCCACAATTTTAGCATCGGCGATTCTGTAATTAAGCATTCCTCGGAGAATAAATTCCTGGGCTGTTCCTACACTGTTCCTACACAAATAATGATAAAAAAATTAAGCCCTACCATTTCAGCAGCCTGACAATAATACTTATACAATCATTGCAACCAGTTTTCATACTAGTTCCACTAACTTGGCCAAAATCAAACTAGCAGAAGACATCAAAAACACTAGAACCATCGATCTCAAGGAAGCCGTTAACAATGCATAATGCCTCGTACAAGAATTTTTCATAGCGATCCCACAATTCCCGTATTGTCCATAATAATATTGGGCTAATGGAAACTGTGCGGATTGGGGAGGGAGGGCGAAGTGCGAGTTGCGACGAGACATTTCCCAGATGTTTGGTGACGAATTTGCTTGCATCTTTCAAGATTTGTATTGGGAGACTTCTTGTATTACACTGACTGTCCTAACTGTTTCAGTAATACTTGCGTAACCGTAATTAATGTGCCTCCTAACAGTTCCTTCTCTCCTAGTACTTTCTTTCAATGCTTTCGATGTTTTCGAGTTCATATTTTACAACTAGAAGCATCCTGCTAGACTATTCGTACCGTTAAATTTCCCGTCAGAAGTTCTGTGAACCCACCATATCCGGATTTCATATATAAATAAAGGCAGGTATGCAATAATTCGCAGATTTCGCGGCTAGGTCATCTCAGTATAGACCATACAGATACTAAGAAGGCTCTGCTATGATTTACTAAGAGATAAGAAAAATTCCTTTATGTGAATTGCAGAGTTCAGAACAGAAGTTGCCTCGTCGTTTTTTTCAAAGGTTATTACTTCGCATCTGTTCGTCTCCCCTTTCCTTCAACTAGGTGACGTTATTGCTTTTCTTATGATGAGGTATTGTGACGAAACGCCAATTCTTCAAGGATTGCAGTTGTCATCATCCCTAATTACCATTATCATCATCATTATCAATCACATCAGGATGGCAATGGCAGATGGTACCTAGAAGAAGAGCACTTTCCTTTTCTTCTCACGATTGATGTAACACGCAGAGTATGGAGAAATGTCATTATCAGTTCTTTCATTATATTTCACACTATACGAAACATATGAGAATAAAAAGAATATAACAGAACTTTTTGCTCTTTCAAGAAGCGATAATTTCGGAAATTTTTGTCAAAACCCCTTCCAAACAATACAAAAAAGAAAAAAATAAAGGCAACAATAATCGAAAAAAACATTAAATACAAATAATTGAGTGGTGGGAAATATATTTGATGTCTACAACAATTACGAAAATCAATTTCGCCAACACAAACTTAATGGAAACGACGAAAAAATTGAGGTATATATTTTGTAGAAAACAAAAAAAATGAACCACGCATTGGGCGAATCAGTGAAAGGAAAATTTTAAAACAACAGAAAATCAAATACTATACGAAATACCATATAAAAATGTAAGCATGAAAAATTGTAAGGTAGAATAGCGAAAATGGAGATGAGAGAGAAAAGAATGACATAACGTTGCTCGACTCGTTTAATTTACTTGTACAGGACAGACTGGTTAATTCCAGCTGTCAAAATTTCGTCCAGACCGGTATCAACATGATGAAGTAATGACAATGATGGCAACTACTAATATAACAATTTGATAAATATGAACAACGATAAAAAATCTTCACCGGATTAGTAGCAGACCTGTATATACCAAGAGACATGTAGTGAGTGGGAAAAGGATAGAAAGGAACACTAATAAAAATGAATCCAATAAACCAAAAATTAAATTAGTAGTTAGAACATAAAAAATGCACAAGTAGACATGCATTACATATGTATTTCCTGCTTTAATAACAAAATAAATCCGTTAAGCTATTAAAATAGAAAGAGTTCGTGCAAAACCCGATAAGTTATCGCATTATCGTTCTTTTAAATTGAGTGAAATTCAGAAGATACTTTAAAATTAGAAAAATCAAGATTCAAAAGTAAATACTTTCCGTTAGATTCATTTGATGATAATTTCTGATTTTTAATTCAAGGCGTTGGGCTAATCCCTTCTCCATTAACTACAGACTAGGAAATGAAGTTATAAGAAAGAGACCGAACAGAACAAAACAAAAAGAAAATAGAGACGGAGAAATTAACAATATTGTACCCAAGCTGCAATCTAAAGTTGTCCCTTCACTTAAATCCGACTTTTTAAAAGCAATAATTAAACTACGCTTTTTAAGAATAAATGAATCTGGTAACTAAACATAACACAATTCTTGAAATAGTAAATTTTTAGTATTCAAAACAAATTATTCAATTAGTACCAAATCCAGAGTGCCACTACGCTCTACTTGGAATAGTTGTTCGTTAACTTTAAAGATAACGAAAAGTATTAGTGACATCAGCAGGATTAGCAGAATGACCAGAATCAAATATTCCTGCTTGTGAAACATAAGTGCCAACGGCCGAAGCAGACGGTGGTTGTTGGGCATGACTTGGATAGGTGCCTGAAACTGAGAACTGCCCTGAGTATGGGAAATAAAAATTGTATGAGGTATTGGGTCCAGGCGGTACAATGATTGGAGTAACACGTTGCGGCTGAGGTTGATGAGGTGATGGTGAAGTTCCATTTCCAGACATTACTTGCTGCTGTTGCACACGGCTATGCATCACCGATCCAGGATTGGGTATTGATAAAGGTGATAACGTTGATAGGTTAGCAGTTGGTGGTGGTGTTAGATGAACTGAACTTAAGTCGTCCACATCCGCTGATGACGTCTGTTGTTGCGGTGAAGATTGTAGAAAAGTTTGCGTGGAAACATCAGCACGTTCTCTAGCTGTTGGTGATGAGATTACTTCACTAGGCGAATCCACAAATATTTCGATCAACAGTGGATCTATTGTTTGGCAACCAAACATTCGAGCGAACTGCACGTTTTCGCACAAAATTGAAGAAATTTTCTATAATGATTATTTGTTCAGAACATTTGATAAATTTGGTTGAAAGTTATGACGTACCTTGTTTTCCTCCAGATAATATATAATTCGATAGCAAAAGTAATTCTCTTTAACTTCATAAATCTATCAGTCGCATCTCATTTTTCTTCAACTATTATTAACAAAAACTTTTTTACCGCTAATGGTGGCAGTAACAACAGTATGTTGCCAAAGCGCGATACAGCAGCAGAAATTGGTTGCTCTACAGAGCTCATACGATCGCGTATCATTTGGAAGAGCACATGCTGAACGCGATCCCGTAGTGCTCCTAGGGTTTGTGATGTTTCCAAGCTTAAACCTGGTGCATCTGCAATAAACCATATTGTCAGCAAAGGTGAACAAATTTTTAATATGATGATGAAACATCCTATTAAAAATAATAACAATACCTTGACGTTGCTGCAAAATACCATGCAAGAAAATATTTGATAAGCTTGATAAAGAATACAATGAACAACAATACTGTAATAAAGTTGCTACTTTGAAAATTTTTTAAATTTAAAAAATAACCAGCATCCAATAGAACAAGCGCTGTTAGTGAGACAATTTCAGCTTCATTGAGTAGTAACTTCCGTATGGGTTGTGTGAGTTCATCCAATATTCGGGCAGCCATGTTATTCGATAAAAAGCTATAACAAAAACTGGATTATAGCAACTTATCATTTGGATTCTGAAACACTGAACTAATTCTTTTTCCTCACAATTAATATCAAAGAAGATAAAATTAGGAAACATTAGCAAAGCCCCTTTTTTCGAAAAGCAATTTTCCAGAAAAATAATCCTATCTGTGAAACAGCTGTTTTTGACAACCTATTGATGCATTACGGCATACATCTGCTATAAACACTTATGCTCACATTTATGGGATGTAATCACTCTTTTCATTTTCTATGGATTAAATAGTTGCTCCAGTAAAGATCCTAAAAAATTACAATCGTGTTCTCTGGCTATAAATTTCACGATGAATATTTCAGCAGGTAAACTGAGACAATTTATTGAACAGATGGTTTTGAATAAGTCGATAAGAATAGCAAACATTTTCCCGTAGATGTTGAAAACTTCTCATTAGAACTAAAAATTAAAAAAAACCAAAAGAAAAAAAAGAATAGGAAATCTTTTCCTCTCAATTGTTGTCTTCTAAAGCTATACATAACTACTTAAGCCTTCTACTCGAACGATAACTTATCCATGATAAAAAAAGTATTACTTGTTCTCCAGCAAATGTCTAGGTGTCTGTCGTGGAATCACAGTTCTATTACACAAGCATAATAAGTCTGGATCGGATGTCGCTTGTGCTGTTCGCGCGGCTTGAGTGAATGCACAAAATGCGGCAAATGAGCTTTTCAGCACAAAAACCTGTAAATTAAATTTCAGCGCGGACAAAACACATGACATATTTAAATCTAAGTTTATATATTTTTGTGCCTTCTGCATTTCCAATTTATACATTTTTTGTTTGCTTTCCTAAATTCATGTGTATTCTATTCAGCTTCAAACTTACGTTTTTTATTTATATTTATATATTCTTCATTATGTCTTTAAAATTTTACCTATACAATCCTTGTAAAATATAGTTCTTACTACTCGTAGTTCACAAAAGAATTTTTTTTGAAAAGAGATTATATTCTTCAACTGCATGTACTTTCCTGCATATATGATATATATTTTCAAATTGCATTTATGTTTTTTTCCAATTCAATCTAAACCAAAAAGTTTGAGTTGTCATATAGGACCCATATGAGTAGTGTTTTAAGAGATAATCTTCAATATGTCAACCTCCTATGTAGACAAAAATAAGAAACTTTTTCCAGTGTCTGGAATGCAATCACAAAGCACTGAAACATGAAAAAGATTTAGCACTATATCATTCTTCCTTAACAGCACCCTAATGCACGTTATAATTTGCATATTAAAAAATTAATTTCAATCACTGAAATAAAATCTCATCCGGCCAAAACTCCTAAAACTAAATTACAAATTTTATTTTAAAAAAAGAAAAATAAGCAATAAATTATCGATATTCCTACTTTTTCGTTGCATTCATTCAGATTGACCAGTGAGAAGAGTGCATCAATCCAATCGACTGCTGCACCGATATACCGTCGTACTGCCTGCGATAATTGCTCCACAGTCGCCGTACGTCCTGCTTCATAACACATCTGCAGGAGTGTATATAATTTAGGAATAATGCTTTCGAGTTCATATATTACAACGCTATCTCATCTCAACCACCTATCAGTTCATATTGCTTATCAGAATATTATCAATATGTTTACAATGCACTACCATATATAAAAGATCAGAACTCAGAAAATAGCAATCTATGATTATGTTTATCTTTATCTTTATTTTAATAAAATAAAGATCCTCCAGCAGTAAAACTTACATCAAAACGATCGCTATCGAAAACATATTTATTCTGGAAA